CTCCGAACAGGCTCCAGCCGAAAGGAACGCTGCCGCCGCTCAGCTGATGCGCCCGAGCACACCGGATCTCACCGACGCCGCCATCCCCATCCAGCCTCGATCTCCTGGGGGGACAAGCCCCCCAACCGGCCGGCGGGAAACTCCCCCAGCCGAGCCAGGGGTCAGAAATTGTCAAAACGACCCCCAAAAGGACCCCTGGGACAAAAAGCCCCCATCCACAACCGCGGCTCAGGCAGACACCGCCATCTTGGACATGCGCAATTGATGATGACACTACCCTGATAGCCAACAATATAAAAGATCTGCATAACAAAAGTCAAGGAGTACATTAAAAAAAATTGGACCCTTAAACGGGAGCCAAAGATGCTTAAGACTGATGGCATCTGTTCCAGCCCTCCGGTGTCACATCCAGATTCTGGAAAGTAGTCGCTCAGAAGATCATGTCTTTGACTACTGCTGCTCATGTACTTGCTTACTGCTGCTCCTAAACTACTCCCTCTTTATTTGCAATCTTATTAGAAAGGAGCAAGCTGATTTGGCATGCATTATGAAATTCCCCTCTTGGAGATGTGCCTGGCCAGGTTTTGGGTTTGGCACCATCCAAGGTTGTAGGGCAGTTATCATTTGGAAATCTCTTTTTGTCCTCCAGAAGTCATGCTCAGGTTTCTGGATGAGAGATCATGTTTCTGAGACTGGGCTTGCGGGATCCGCTGGAATTGTTGCTGCTGTAGCAGCCTTTCTGTTGCGTAGCAACCTCCCTGCCTGAGCTGCTGGTTGGCAGTGGAGTTCCCTAGGCTTATAGTCCTGGGACACTTCAATCTGCTGTCCCTGGGTTTGGCCTTGAAGCAGCTTGAGAGTTCACGGCCACCATAATGGCCATGGGCACATTCAGGTCATCCACAACCCAACTCAAGCCAGTGGTCCTATTCTGGATATGATCTTGTTAGAGGAGTGGCAATGTGACCTGGTGAGGGATCTGTCAGTATTCTCTCTCGTCGTGATCAGATCATGCCTTGGTGGCCTTGAGATTCTTATGCTGCCCTCCTCCAGAGGGTGGCTAGACCTATTCAACTGCTCTGCCCTTGGTGACTGATGGACCTGCTAGGGTTCCAAAAAGAGATGGGGAGATACCCAGGGCGGCTGCTGCATGCTCCTGTGAAGACTCTGGTTGCAAACTGGAATCAGAGAGCAGCCAAAGCCCTGGATAGGATCGTGGATATGTGCCCTCTTCTGGCCCATCAGCATTAACAGTCCCAGTGGTTGGGTGATGCAGTATTGCACTAATTCAGTTCCTTTCTTAAAGGCCAGTTCCAATCAGTGTTGATAGCAGGTGGGAGGTCCAGCTTGTGGCTACTCCTTTGTGGGATGTCACAGTGCCCAGTACACTCTGCTCCTTTTTTGAACATCTATATGAAACCACTGAGTGAGATCATCCAACTCCACAGGATGAATTACCGCCAGTATGCTGATGACACTCAGTTTTACATCGCTATCCCTGATGATCCAAGTGATGCTGTGGCTGCCCTTTCGCAGGGCCTAAACCTAGAGGCTGGGAGGACCTAGATGAGGGAGAACAGGCTTCAGCTGAACCCTGACAAGACAAAGTGGCTGTGGGTATGTAGAGCCTCAGGATCTGGATGTTTGTTATCTTCAGTTCTGGATGTAGCCCAAGCAAACCCTGTGTGTAACTTGGAGGTTCTCTTAGACTCACAACTCCTGCTCAAAGAGGAGGTGGCAGCCCTGGTTAGGAAAACCTTCACACAATTTTGTGTTGCGTGCTAACTGCACCCTTCCAGAACGCAACAGCATGGGTAGTTTTGGACACTCCTAGAGTGGCACATGTAATACCATTGTTATTGCAAGTTACATTGGCTGCCAATTTGCTTCTGGGTGCAATTCAAGGTGTCTGTTATCACCTTTAAAGCCTCCTATGAAAGCCACCTATGACATGGGTCCAGGATATCTGCAGAACAGTCTTTCCCCAATGGGATTCACGCACTCCATTTGTTCTGGCAAAAGGGGCCCCACTGCAGATCCCATCAGCCAAAGAATTTCAGCTGATGGGATCCAGGAGAAAAGCCTTTTTTGTCTTGGCCACTGGCCTTTGGAATATGGGAAGATGAGATATTGTGTGTTTTATCACATTTTAAGCTTCTCAGAGTTGTCTCAAACCTTGAGATGGATAGCACAAAAATGTAATAATAATAAAAGGTAACACCAATAGTGATAAGCACCTTGAGCGCAATCCCAAAATAACTGGAGCACCACTTGAACACCATCAACATTGACCAGATCACTATCAGTCAATTGCCAAAGGCAGCTTTATTCAGAACGGCTTACATCCTGTGATGATACCTCTAACACCATAAAACATCAATATCTACCTATCCTAGGCCCTTGGAAAGGACTTCATAGGTAGATAAAAATGCCATATCTAGTGACATGACCCCAACAGAACCCAGTTCAAAGGAGCAGGAGCTGGAACCAGGACCAGCCAATGGGGATGGCATGTTTGAAGAGGCCAGGGGCTGAGGACCATGCTGTCCCAGGATCCCCAGACATTGGGGGAGGTGGTCGACCAGACAAGAGAGCTACTTGCTCTCACAGACACAGGGAAGGATTGGCTGCCAGCAGGCAGTGGTGCTGATAGGCAACTGATCCCCTCTGATGAGGAACAGCTGCCTCCCCCACTCGATCCAAGGGCACAGAGCAGGGGTGGGTTCTAAATTTTTTTACTACCGGTTCTGTGGGCATGGCTTATTTTGTGGGCGTGGCTTGATGGTCATGTGACAATTATTTAGGATTTAGCAGAGGTACTGGTCTACCAGGCTTTTAACTGCTTGCAGAGATGAACTGATCTACCCATTTATTTTTTGCAGGCCCTGGTCTACCCATTTATTTTTGCAGACACTGGTCTACTCATTTGTTTTCTTTTAACACTGATCAGCTGTAGGGCGGCCCTTTGAAGCCCCGCGGCAAGAGTTTAAACAGTTTTTTTCCCTCTAGCCATCAGCTGGGACTCAGGAGGCAGCAATAGATTGGGGGTGGGGCCAAATAAAAGGTAAAAATAATGCAGGGGTGGGGGGGGGCGTGGGGGAGGCAGAATCGGTTCGGTGACATCATATCGTCACCGCTACCAGCTCGGGAGAACCAGGCCGAACTGGGAGGAACCCACCACTGGCACAGAGAGTGGCGCGCAGGCAAGTTCAGAGAAGGTCCCATCAGAAGTTGACAAATGGGCCATTTTTGGCTTCTGGAGGACCTCTGGGTGTGGGGTGGGGAAGGCTGTTTTCGCCCTCCCCAGACTCCTAGAGAGGCTCTGGAGGCTGGGGACAGCAAAAAATGGGCCTTCCCCACCATGCCCCGAGGCCCTCTGGAGGCAGGAAACAGCCTGTTTCCCTACTTCTGGTAGGCCCAGAAGGCCCGAAAATCAGCTGGCGTGCGTCGGAGCTATATGGCTACACGTGCCATCTGTGGCACACGTGCCATAGGTTTGCCATCATGGACATAGAGTAATAAAGGACTCTTTAGAGGCCTGCCTTGCCTTGACAACCTGGGTCATAATATCTAGTCTGAATATCAGGCTGAATGTGTGACAAACCTTATCAATAATAATAAATGTTCCATAAAGACCAAACTTATGACAAGAGGTAGAATAGCAAACCGTAGAATTAACAGGGAAAATACTGAAATGGTGGATAGTTTCTGCATTTAAGGATCTAGTATCAACAAAGGAACCGCCATTCAAAAAACGCATGGCAGACTAGCAATTGCTAGGGCAGCCATGAAATCTTTAGAAAAAAACATCAAAATGCCATGACACATGTACACTTACAATGATCAGAACTGTGCAGGTTATTTGAACTAACGCAATCAAGGCCAGAATTGAAAAATTGTCCAACGATTCCAAGTTCAGATTACACAAAGAGACAGAAGAAACAGTAAATCATATACTCAACTGGCACAAGAAAACTGGGCAATACCTGTGATATGATATACCTTTTGAGGTCTGGTGCTGTAGAAGGCTCCTGCATATTCCTTGGACAACAAAGGTGACTAACAAGCAAATATTGGTGCGCATAATACCAGACATGGCACTGGAAGGCAAGATTATGAAACTGCATCTCACTTACTTTGGTCATGGCTTAGGTCCAGGATACTTGCAGGACCATCTCCTGCCTGACTCCCACCATCCTGTCCACTCCCACAGGGCTGCTCTCCTCAGGGTACCGTTGACCAGACAATGTCGTCTGGCGACGTCCAGGGGTAGGGCGTTCTCTGTGGGCGCCCCTGCCCTCTGGAATGAGTTACCCACTGAGCTCCGGACGGCACCTGATCTCCGTTCCTTCCGTCGGGGCCTGAAGACCTGGCTATTCCAACAAATGGGCTGATTTAGATTCTTGGGTGTTATTACTTATTATCATTCGATCTTAACTGGTTTTAATTGGGTTTTTATTATATGTTTTTATCTGTTTTTTGTTTTACCTGTGTTCCCTGCCCTGAGTCCTTTCGGGAGAAGGGCGGCATATAAATACTTGCAAATAAATAAATAAATAAAATGTGTGAGAAATCACTGGAGAAAACAATTACGAGTGGAAGAGTTAGCGATAAAAGGAAATTAGGCTGTCCAAAAATATGGTGGCTGGACACCATCAAAGCTGACACCAGCTGGAACATACAAAAATGCAAAGGAAAATGCAAGATTGGAAGATATGGAGACCTGGTCCATAGAATTGCCAAAAGTCAAACAGGACAGAATGGATAACTTCATTATGATCAATGGTTTCCAGACTTTTCTACCCATTCTCTAAGTTAGCTGATTTTAAGTATCTTGTTGCAATATAATATAACGTTTGGGTACCTCGAGGTTATAAACAGACAGACAGAATGAGAATTTTAGTAGTATACAGATAATAAGAACAAATACAATAGGACTGTTTTTATACATGTGAACGCCAGGACAACTGTCCAATTAATAATGATGTCTAATTATTCCTTACCAATTCCTTCTGTGTATCAATCACAGCCAAGGATGCATTAAATAAAGAACAAGTCTTTAAACTGAGAGACCAATTCTTTTCATCTTTTGATATGTAGAAACATTTTCCTCTGTATCCAATCCAGAAATCAGGACAGGCAGCACTTACAGTGGAAAGGCATGGCAAACACGGTTTTGTGCTGTAAACTGGAAAAAGAAAATCAAAAGGGACAAATCACAGAGCTCACAATTAACCTCAATTCTGACAACATGGTTTGAATAGTCAGTATTAATCTGCTTCATTTAAACTGCAATTCCAGGGTTTAAGGAAACCAAGTGAGTTAACCTGTAAATACAGCTAGTGTTAAGTGGAGAAAATGAGAAGCCAAGGTGCTTCAAATGAATATACGTTTATTGCATGATTGAATGTAGATTCTCTTTATTGCATATAGATTGCATGTAGATTCTCTACAAGAATCTGAACTACCAACAGTCAAAACAAATTGACAATAGATAAAAGTCAATCAAATTCAAGATAGGCTGGATTTAGATTAGATTAGATTAACAGAGTTGGAAGGGACCTTGTAGATCAAGGTCCCTTCCAACCCTCCACCCAAGCAGGAGACCCTACACCAGGGGTCCTCAAACTTTTTAAACAGGGGGCCAATTGGGTAATTTACCCAGGTTTGGGTAGCACTACTTAAAAAAAAAATTAAATATGGAAGTGAGAGTTCATCACGTCAGGAGAAACATAAAAGTAGATTAGCTATCATAAGAAAATACCAAATTTGATGTAGCGGTTAAGACATCAGACTAAAAACTGGGAGACTGTGAATTCTAGTTCTGCCTTAGGCACAAAGCCAATAGAGCCTGGTGGCGCAGCAGACTAATAGCCTGTTATTAACATCCAGCTGCCTGCAATTACTGCAGGTTCGAATCTTGCCAAGGCTCAAGGTTGACTCAGCCTTCCATCCTTTCTAAGGTAGGTAAATTGAGGACCCAGTTTGTGGGGGCAATAAGCTGACTTTGTATAAATATACAAAAGTATGAAGGCTATTGCTTAATGCATTGTAAGCCGCCCTGAGTCTCCGGAGAAGGGCGGCATATAAATCAAATTAAAAAAAAAAACAAAAAAAACCTGGAGGACCTTGGGCCAGTCATTTTCTCTTAGCTCAAGGAAAGAGGTGGAGACGGGGGCAAGCTACTTCCAAAATTTTGCCAGGAAAACTGCAGAAACTTGTCCTGGCAGTTGTTGGAGTTAAGACTGGCAGAAAGGCACAATAAAAGAACTTCTTAAAAAAGCTACACTAAGAATGGATTACTTGAGTGTGTGTGATAAAACAGACCAAACGCAAATTTGTTTATGTTGGATTGTGCAGTCTTCCTTCCTCCTCTCCATTCACTCTGTAACTGCTTTCGCTTGCCACATAACAATCTTCCCTTCTTGGGACATTTGTGAGAGTCCCCCACCCCCAAAAAAAATAAAAATAAAGAAGTCCAGATGGCAATCACAGCAGTGCAATCAAATTCCTTCCAGGCAACATTTGACACATGTACAAAGTCCAACTTTCAACGGCACTGCGGCAATCTTCATCTTGACTCATTTGACATATCTCACCCCCAGTTGCTATTTCCTTCCAATTCAATTGTTCTGTGGTTTAAATTCATGCATGATTTCATTTAAATGATAACCACAGCAGCAACAAAGCTATGGAGAAAGTTAAGCAGAAATGTATCATTACTTACCAGACAATACAATTATAACAAGGATCAAAGTTGCGATTACAACAGCTACAGCTACAGCTACAGCGAATTTTTGGCCTTTGTGTATGACCGCTGAAAAATAGACAGGAAGATATTAGGAGATGTTCATGATTTCATTAAGGCTGTTTAGATTTTTTAAATGTTTTTATTGTCTCATAAACCACTCAGGATTGTAGTCAGACTATAGCATAGTAAATTGGACTTTGTTATCTGACTTGCAACTGTTGATCCCATCAAAATAAACCCTGAATGTCCCTCATCTCCTCCTCTCTTCCTCCATAAACCGAGGTGGGGAACTATGGCCCTTTTATGACTTGTGGACTCCCAGAATTCCCCATCCCTGCTCTATAAGGAAAGGATGAAGAAACAGTTAGTGTGACTCCCAAGGAGCACAGAAGCACAGCCTTGGTGTCTGTTGTGTGTGGCCTTCATATTTCTTTCTTCACAGAACAATTAAAGTAGATCTGGAATGGCTTACATCCTCCATCCAGGGGTGAAATGCTCCCGGTTCAGACAGGATCACCCGATCCGGTAGCGATGGCGGTGGGTGGTTCGGAGAACCGGTAGCAAAAATCCCTGCGCCCCCTCCCCCAGCTGAGCCGCACAATCATCAGAGGCTTTTTTTTTTACTTTTAAAAGCATTTTTTCTACCACCTCTTCCAACAAAAAAAATGCTTTTAAAAGTAAAAAAAAAGCCTCTGTTGATCGCGCTGCTCAGCTGGGATCGTCAGAGACTTTTCAAAGCATTTTTTTCTGCAACCTCTTGGCCAGAGGTGGTAAAAAAAATGCTTTGAACAGTCTCTGATGATCCCAGCTGAGTTGCCTGATCGGCAGAGGCTTTTTAAAGCATTAGAAAAAATGCTTTGAAAAGTTAAAAAAAAAAAAAAAAGTTGGCCACGCCCAACCAGTCATATTACCCCCCAACACCAAGCCACGCCCACAGAACCGGTAATAACAAATTTTACATTTCATCCCTGCCTCCATCCTTCTTATACGTAGCTGTGGGAGACACAATCTCAATCCCACCACTCCCAAAGGTGCTTTTTCAAGAGGCAACGCGCCATGGAGCAGTGTGGTTCGCAGCCCAGGTGTTGGGGATCTCTAGCATAAAGGACAGCAGTGAAAAACAGAACATGCCACCCCAACCTACTCATCAAAACTGTGGTGGTGCAGTGGTTAGAATGCAGTACTGCAGGCTACTTCTGCTGACTGCCAGCTAGACAGCAGTTCGAGTCTCACCGGCTCAAGGTTGACTCAGCTTTCCATCCTTCCGAGGTCGGTAAAACGAGGACCCAGATTGTTAGGGGGAAATATGCTGACTTTGTAAAAACTGCTTAGAGAGAGCTGTAAAGCACTATGAAGCGGTCTGTAAGTCTAAGAGGTACTGCTATCTTCTCCAACAACATTTACAGCAGTTAACCGAATCTTGTTCTTTGAGAAGAAGGCATTAATATCAATTCCTTCCCCCTTGGAGGGATGATCTGGACTTCTGTCTCCCACCCTAATAGCCAAGTCAGGGGCAGGGTTTCTGTCCTGAAGATTATGAGGGAAACTCACCAGTGGTGAAATCCAATTTTTTTTACTACCGGTTCTGTGGGCATGGCTTGGTGGGTATGGCAGGGGAAGGATACTACAAAATCTCCATTTCCACTCCACTCCAGGGGAAGGATACTGCAAAATCCCCATTCCCTTCCCCATTCCTGGGAGATGGATATTGCAAAATGTCCATTCCCACCCCACTCTGGGGCCAGCCAGAGGTGGCTTTTGCCGGTTCTCTGAACTACTCAAAATTTCCGCTACCGGTTCTCCAGAACCTGTGAGAACCTGCTGGATTTCACCCCTGAAACTCATCAAAGCTACCGTGTTGGCCTTAAATCAGACTGCATCTGTGACTGTTCAGAGAACCCCATATTTATTTGTTTGTTTATTATTTATTTGATTTCTACAGATGCCCATCTCAGCTGACTCTGGACAGTTCACAATTCAAAAACATATTATAATTAAAACTTAAAAATATTTTAAAAGAAGAATAGTAAAAAAAAAACCATTAAAAATTAAAAAAACCATTAAAAACGTCTAATTTGAGCATATAAAAAGCAAGACATCTGGCCTGTTAACAATATAGCCAGGAGGGGGAGCCTTGAGGCATGTAGACCAGGGGTGGGTTCTAAAATTTTTTACTACTGGTCCTGTGGGCGTGTTTTTTTCCTTCTAGCCGATCAGCTGGGACTCGGGAGGCAGCGAATAGATTGTGGGTGGGGCCAGGCAGAAGTAATCTGCAAGATTACAAAGGATCCCAGGCAGGTGCCTACCTTTGTTTTTACCAGCATTCTTCTCATTCTCTGCATCAGAGCTTCCAGGAGACGTACTTGTGATCTCAGGAGTCAAGCAATGACAATTATCAGAAACTTCAGCTAATATCGAAAGGCAAAACAACAGTACATAAAGTTATGGTCTAGTTTTGTTATGGAGAAGACGCTGGACCCCCCTCCCCCCCAATACCCAACCAGGGTTCCCTCTCAGACAAACAATTTAAATAAATATTTTAAATAGCTGAAAATCCCCAAATCTTGCACTGCTGAATATTCACAGGAGGAACTCAATGTGACTTGCAAAAACCTCCTATGAGTTGATCATTTTGCAAGATTTCAGATGATTATATTAGGGGGTGGTATCCATGCCATAGGACAAAATCGGACCTAGACCTGGGGTATTTCCACTGATTTTGAGGTGCACATTGGAAGGTTTCCTTGCTTTTGCACAAGCAGGTATGTATTTTGCTGAATTCTATCTGAAACTGACACTCCACATAGAATCCCAGCTGCGAAACTCTCTGACTTACTCAATGAGCCTCTTAAAGCTTAGAAGATCATCTGGAAGAGTCCTCTCAGATGCTCTTCCTGGTTCATTAATTTTAAGAGTATTTGGTTCCAGTACAGTTCTCACCATAAGAAGCAGGAATGACTGAAGAAAACAGTCCTACAGGTAACCAATTATCTTACTAGTTTTCCCCAATTCTAGCTTGAATCCAGTCATCTCCAGATATTCAGATCAAAACTTTTCCCCAAGTTTGCTTTTTCAACTCATGCTTGCCTTACTTTTTGTTATTCCCCCACTAAGCATGGAAACCAACGTTTTTAGCTATATAATCAATAAGAGTATTCGCCTCTGATTTTATCAGTGCCCTGGGGTTTTTCTCCTGCTTCCTGTAGTTCACAAGTAAGCGTAAGAAAGATCGGAATGCCTCACCTGTAAATATTTCTGGCATCTTCCAAGCTTTCTGAGTTACAATATATATATATATATATATATATCAGGGTTCAGATGGTATGGAAAAAAAAGAATTTGGTATTAGTCATTCCTGCACAGGACTTTTTTCATTGATATATATTAATTGAGATATACATTATATTGATATATTACTGTAAGTAAAGTACTTTCTTAAACTCCTTAACTTCAGTGTGCTGCCGTTCACTTCAATCTTATTGACTGGAATGGCCAGAGGTTATGAGAGCTGATATCCAAATAATCTCTTGGGTACTGGATTGGGGAAGGCAGCTTTAGACAAGAAAAACTTGTATAGTCTACTTATTACTTTTCGATCATTCCCTAGTATGATTTTATCTAAGTCTGTTTCTTCTGGTCGAACTTGATCTTTTTTTATATTCTCTGTGTACTTTGAATTTATCTGTAGATATGTCCACCATTGCACTTCTCTTCCTAAGTCCAGTTCCAATTCGTTTCTAGTTTTTAATATTCCCCTCTTGGTTATCATGTCTCTATACCTAATTAATTTTGTCCAGTCGACTAAATTTGGATATGTTAAAGTTTCCTCTGGGGAAATCCAAGACGGGATTTGTATATAATGCTGTTTTTTAATTTTATTCCAAATTATTAGTAAAGAATTCCTAATTGTGTGCCATCTAAAGTATCCATAAATATTTTGTTTTCCTCACCATATATATGAGTGCCACCCTATAGTTAGATATGTCCTTCTAATGTTAGCAGCCTTTTATTTTCCAATTCCATCCACTCCTTTATCCAAACTAATCCTGCTGCTTGATAGTAGGTCTCCCAATCTGCGAGGGCGGCTCCTCCTCTCTCTCGGGTATCTTGTAATACTTTTAACCTAATTCTAGGCTTCTTTCCTTGCCAAATAAATGTTGTGGTTAATCTATTTAATAAGTCAGAAAAAAATTTCCCCATTTTTATCGGAATAGTCTGGAAGAGGAATAAAATTTTGGGCAAGATGTTCATTTTTATTACTGCCAATCTTCCCATCCATGAAATCTGCAACTTTGTCCAGTTTTCCAAATCTTTCCTAATTTGCTCAGTTAATTTGTCATAATTTTCATAAATTTCTGCAGCATCCCCATGGTCACGATTTATATTCGGATTCTTGACAACTGGGTCATATTTATGAAGGTTGCAGTGTCCGGGGGTCATGGGATCACCTTCTCTTTTTACTTTGTGTAGTTCCTATGCTTTTAACTGCTATGTTCCATAACATTATTACAAAAGTGTTTTAAGGAAAACGAGTTTTCTTTCATAGCCCAAGTCGCAAAAAGCTTTTACCGTGTGCTTCATACAGCACGAGCCTCAACACAACAGTAGAGAAAATGTACTAAGCTAGTTCTACTAATCATTGCATTACAGGTATCCTTAGCAGGCGCAACTTAGTGCAACACCCCCTGCTTGCAAAATACAATCCCCAAACCCAGAGAACCCCTACACGAACTCTTAAATTTCTCCACCTCGAAGTTATTGCTGGGAATAAACCCCGAGGATTAACCCTCACGCTAAAGGGGTCTCCAACCTTGGCAACTTGAAGCCTGGAGGACTTCAACTCCCAGAATTCCCCAGCCAGCTAAAGGACGGACAGGCTTTTGCGCAACCCTCAAAGGAGGCCGTGCAGCCCCGCTATGAAATACGATCTGTTAGGCCTTCAAAGCCTTGGGGCTCTTCGCCTTAAAAAAGGTAACCCGCCCCTCCTTTCCTACCAATTGCGCTGCCCTTTTTTTTTTTTTTTAATTCTAGGTCTCCTGCAGCAGATCGTGCACAGGGCTTAACGCGTCTGGCAGGAAAAAGAATTGCTTAGCGAGGGATCTTGGGAAAACTTTTTCGTCTTTCCCTTGTTCCGACCTGTCCATATAGAGGCGCGGCTGCATAATGGAGCCGGGAAATCCCCCGCGCCTGGCGGCAGCAGCTCCCTCCACCGCCAAAAGTGGGGCTGGCTTTCCGAGGACAGCGAGGAGAGGTTCCCCACCCCCCCATTTCCCCAGGGGAAATCCAAGACGGGATTTGTATATAATGCTGTTTTTTAATTTTATTCCAAATTATTACTAAAGAATTCCTAATTGTGTGCCTTCTAACGTATCCATAAATATTTTGTTTTCCTCCCCATAAATATGAGTGCCACCCTATAGTTAGATCATGTCCTTCTAATGTTAGCAGCCTTTTATTTTCCAATTCCATCCACTCCTTTATCCAAACTAATCCTGCTGCTTGATAGTAGGTCTCCCAATCTGCGAGGGCGGCTCCTCCTCTCTCTCGGGTATCTTGTAATACTTTTAACCTAATTCTAGGCTTCTTTCCTTGCCAAATAAATGTTGTGGTTAATCTATTTAATAAGTCAGAAAAAAATTTCCCCATTTTTATCGGAATAGTCTGGAAGAGGAATAAAATTTTGGGCAAGATGTTCATTTTTATTACTGCCAATCTTCCCATCCATGAAATCTGCAACTTTGTCCAGTTTTCCAAATCTTTCCTAATTTGCTCAGTTAATTTGTCATAATTTTCATAAATTTCTGCAGCATCCCCATGGTCACGATTTATATTCGGATTCTTGACAACTGGGTCATATTTATGAAGGTTGCAGTGTCCGGGGGTCATGGGATCACCTTTTGCAACCTTCTGACAAGCAAAATCAATGGGGAAACCAGATTCACTTAACAACTGCGTAACTAACTTAACAACTGCAATGATTCACTTAACAAATGTGGTAAGAAAAGTCACAAAATGGGGCAAAATTCACTTAACCAATTTCTCACTTAGAAACATAGAAAATATTCTGCTAGTGGCAAATTTATGGGTTACCTTACTCTTTGCCAGCTGGGTTTGTATCTTTCTTAAAACTTGAAAATGTATTCAAGGACTTTCAGAATACCCTATCTACTGTGTACCTGCCAAAAAAGCAAGTTCTCATATGACAAACAAATGTCTTGGCTAAGAAGGGAAAAACATGTTTCTTTAAAAGTGGAACAATATTTAAATGGGCAATATATTAAAGGGTTTATACACCACAGCCTTAAATTGGGACTACAAAGCCTTGAGTAAGGTTAAAATGTATGTTATCCATAATAATACTTTTGCTGACCAGGACTGACCAACGATGCTGTAAGGATTTGTTTACAGAAATTAAGTGAGATATGGGGAAATTTTCCATTGAAACAGTAGAGAAAGTGATAAGTTATTGTAAGGTTTTTGAATTCAGCTCAGAATCTGATAATTCCAATGAAACTCTGAACAGGAGGTTACTGATAATCAGCTTTTTTTTTTCTGCAGAAAGCAAAAAGACTGGACAGCCTTTTGTCTCTCACCTTAACAGAGTAGGCAGAGAGAAAAGCGCGTGCCCAAAAAACTTTTCCAAACATCTTATAGCTCACATAGCTTGTACAGAAGGTCATTTCTATAGTAACATAATTTCATATCATGAGAATTTCACTATTTTTCTCAGTGCTCTGAAAACAATAGATTTTAGAAGGGGAAAGAAATACATTTTCTGGCATATAAATCAGAACTTTGTTAGGGAATGCTGAAACCACATTTCAAGTTAAAAGCAAGGTTACTTGGCAGAATCCACTTTTTACTTTTCACAAAAAGTTTCTTTGCTAGGCTAAGCTTGGCAATTCGCCTAGAAGTCTTATCTAATGCAGTTGGCACGGTAGTTAGGCTGGGGCGTCTCTCAACAGCAATTAACAAAAGCTGAATTAGGTTACACTCTGTGTATGCTCTAATCCTTTCATTACTAAAACTATAGTTTATAAAGCTGAAGTCATTTCTTTAAACATTTCCTTCCTTCGTTGCACATTCTAATTCCTCTTTTTATTTTATTTTTTTTTACTTTGTATTATCTATCTCTTTAACTGCTATGTTCAATAACATTAAAGTGTTTTAAGGAAAACGAGTTTTCTTTCATAGCCCAAGTCGCAAAAAGCTTTTACCGTGTGCTTCATACAGCACGAGCCTCATCACAACAGTAGAGAAAAAGTACTAAGCTAGTTCTACTAATCATTGCATTACACGTATCCTTAGCGCAATTTAGTGCAACACCCCCTGCTTGCAAAATACAATCCCCAAACCCAGAGAACCCCTACACGAACTCTTAAAATTTCTCCACCTCGAAGTTATTGCTGGGAATAAACCCCGAGGATTAACCCTCACGCTAAAGGGGTCTCCAACCTTGGCAACTTGAAGCCTGGAGGACTTCAACTCCCAGAATTCCCCAGCCAGCTAAAGGACGGACAGGCTTTTGCGCAACCCTCAAAGGAGGCCGTGCAGCCCCGCTATGAAATACGATCTGTTCGGCCTTCAAAGCCTTGGGGCTCTTCGCCTTAAAAAAGGTAACCCGCCCCTCCTTTCCTACCAATTGCGCTGCCCATTTTTTTTATTTTTTTTTAATTCTAGGTCTCCTGCAGCAGACCGTGCACAGCGCTTAACGCGTCTGGCAGGAAAAAGAATTGCTCGGTGAGGGAGCTTTGGAAAACTGTTTCATTTTCCCTTGTTCCGACCTGTCCATAAAGAGGCGCGGCCGCATAATGGAGCAGGGAAATCCCCCGCGCCTGGCGGCAGCAGCTGCCTCCACCGCCAAAATGGGAGCTGACTTTCCGAGGACCGCGAGGGGAGCTTCTCCACCCCCCACCCCCCACCCGGTCAGACCCAGAGCCGAGCCCCCTTCCCCACCTGAGCGTGCAGCACCCGAGAGCTGTTTTCCTCTTCCCACATTTTGCAGCGTTCAGGCTAAATCATACTCCCTCCCCCTCCCATTCCCAGGGTCGCTGAGGTCCGGTCATTTGCAAAACAACATCCGTCTGTAATCCTCTAATCCCCTCCTTTTTTCCTTTCGCTTTCGCAACAAGCGCAACGTCCCCCCTCGAGTTGGGCTTCCCAATTTTGTCAAGATTTGGGATTTCAGTTCCCAGAACGTCCCAGGCCCTCCTTTCTCAAGGTTGCCAAGCTTGGCATATGCTGCCCCCGAGCGCTCTCCTTTTATTCCTGCCTTCTCCACGAATACATTCTGACCCCACTTGGAACAATTTAAAGCCAATTAATCTGCAGCCACCCCACTAGTTATAGGCTGACTAGTGCTTTCACCCTCCCCCCCCCAAGAAATCCTACCCTTGTTGATGTGAGGTGGGGGCAGGGGTGAAATTCAGCAGGTTCTGGAGAACCGGTAGCGGAAATTTTGAGTAGGTTGGAGAACCAGCAAATACCACCTCTGGCTGGCCCGAGTGGGGTGGGAATGGAGATTTTGTAATATCCTTCCCCCCAGGAGTGGGGAGGGAATGGAGATTTTGCAGTATCCTTCCCCTGGAGTGGTGAGGGAATGGAGATTTTGCAGTATCCTTCTCCCATGAGGGGAGGGAATGGAGATTTTGCAGTATCTTTCCCCTGGAGGTGGGTGGGAATGGAGATTTTGCAGTATCCTTCTGGAGTGGGGAGGGAATGGGGATTTTGCAGTATCCTTCCCCTGGAGTGGTGAGGGAATGGAGATTTTGCAGTATCCTTCTCCCATGAGGGGAGGGAATGGAGATTTTGCAGTATCTTTCCCCTGGAGGTGGGTGGGAATGGAGATTTTGCAGTATCCTTCCCCTGGAGTGGGGTGGGAAAGGTTCACACCACTGTGGAATAATTTTTATTATTTACCCTTGTGAGAGTACGTTCTGTTTTTTAAAATAAGATCCATGTTTTTCTACATTTTTATTTATTTATTTACATTTTATTTATTTTTTTGCTGAGATTTTCTCATCCAGGCTTCTTACAATTTTCTGGCTGGCTGCAAAGAAAAAGTTTCTCCATGGAGCATATGGTACTACTGGCCCCTTTTTCATTTACATAGGCACAGAAGCCTTCTGCTCGCACTGGAAACCTGCAAAAAAAAAAAAAGGACAAGGACAAGGAGTTACTATCTGCATGGCAATCGTAACTGTAATCAATGTTGCAGGAATGATCCTTCCAAGAAGATTCCCAGCTTTATAGAACATAGAGAAAAAGTAAAAATAATATGCATACACAGGCACACAAACCCAGAACACAAAGCATCGTTTGCACAGCATACGGTGGTCATGTTCTCAGCTTCAGAGAGGAGCAAAATCTCACTTGACAAATATAAATGATTTGCTAGTTGTAACATGGCAGCTGTTCTGACCTAGGCTTCCTTAGAAAGTATACAGCACAATCCTAGCCTCAGCAAACCTCTTTTATCCAAAGGGCTGTGAATTATTGTCATTCCCAGTCCGAAAGGCTTCTCAAATAGTCTATCAGGGGAGTGTTTACGAACACTCACCTTATCTCCCTTGGAATGCTGCCAGAGAACTAATTGCCACACGCAAGGCAAGGCCAAACTTAGCAGAGTCAAACAGAGCTTTTCCAAAGCTTTTACCGACCAGATGAACTAATTGCTTCCTGCAAAAGCTCACGTCCCATTCACTTCTCTTTTATGTCTTATGGGAGGGGCCAATCATCTCCAAGCCTTACTCCCAAGTCGACCCTGTTTTCTTAATTGTTCCTGTCTTCTGGCAGCTCTGCACATGTGCACATTGGGAACAGGCTGAAGCTGTTCTTCTGCCTTGCTGATGTCAGACTCCTGAGACAACAAAGAACTACCAGATGGCTTTAGCTCCCTCTCTGTCTCTGACTCAAGAGCCCTTATCCAAGCCTATTCCAGACTCCAGGACTGGCCCACATTCCTCCCCAACCTCCTCACTGTCCAAATCTTCTGCCAGCTCTGCGGCCACAACAGCAGCTACATCCGAACTAGATTGTGTTGTTTCTCTGTGTCATATAATACATGATAAACTGATAAACTGAAAGACAAAAAGGAGAAGTACAAAAAAATGGAAAGAGGGGCACATAAATAACTAAGGCAAAATATCAGCAGTTAGCCTGAATCTGCAAAGATGAAGTCAGGAAAGCAAAGGCTCAGAATAAACAAAGACTTGCAATAAATAAAAGTCAAAGATAATTAAAGAAAGTTTCTTTCAACATATAAATAACAAGAAAAAAGTCAAGGAAACAGTCAGTCCGCTAAAAGAGAAGATAGCACAGAAGAAACAGGCAGTAGAGAGAAAGCAGAGCTGCTGAACTCATTCTTTGCATCCTCTTCACCCAAAAGAAAACTATAGGCCAACCTATCAAAAACATAACTCTGAAAGACAGACTAGAAATAAAAGTTAAAATAAGCAAGAAAATGGTAAGAGAACACCTGTCTTTAACAGATTAAAAGAGTTGGAAGGGACCTTATATGTCATCTAGTCCAACTCCCCGCTCAAGCAGGAGACCCTACACCATTTCTGACAAATGGCAATCCAATCTTTTCTTGAAAGTCTCAGGTGATGAAGCTCCCACAACTTCCGAAGGCAACTTCTGTTCCATTGGTTGATTGTTCTCACTGTCGCTGTCTGATCTTGATGAATATAAGTCACCGGGACCTGATGAATTACATCAGGGGTGAAATGCTCCCGGTTCGGACCAGATCACCCGATCCTGTAGTGATGGTGGCGGGTGGTTTGGAGAACTGGTAGCAAAAATCCCTGCCCCCCCCCATGTCCAGCTGAGCCGTGCGATCATCAGAGGCTTTTTAAAAAACTTTTAAAAGCATTTTTTCTACAGCCTCTTTGGCTGAAAAAATGCTTTTAAAAGTAAAAAAAAAAAGCCTCTGATGATCGTGTGGCTCACCTGGGATCGTCAGAGGCTTTTAAAAGCATTTTTTCTACAACCTCTTTGAAGAGGTTGTAGAAAAAATGCTTTTAAAAGCCTCTGACGATCCCAGCTGAATTGCCTGATCTCAGAGGCTTTTAAAAGCATTTTTTCCTGCAACCTCTTAAGGTTGAAGGAAAAATGTTTTTAAAAGTAAAAAAAAAAAAAGTTGGCTATGCCCACCCAGTCACATTACCCTCCCCCCACACCCACAGAATTGGTAGTAACAAATTTTACATTTCACCACTGGATTACATCCCAGAGTTCTGAAGGGTGTTATCTCAGAACCATTGTACCAAAAATCCCGGAGCACAGGGGAAGTGCCTGAGGATTGGAAAACGGGTGATGTGGTTCCCATCTTCAAGAAAGGGGAAAAAGCAGACCCAGGAAACTACAGACCAATCAGTCTAACATCAGTACCTGGGAAGATACTGGAAAAGACAATAATAATAAAAAAAATAGATCTGTGAACAACTGGAAGCAAATAAAGCTGTAACTAGTAGCCAGCACAGGTTTGTTAAAAACAGATCATGCCAAACCAATCTTATTTCATTCTTTGATAAAATCACTAAATTAGTAGACAAGTGAAATGTTATGGACATCCTACACTTAGATTTCATAAGGCATTTGACAAAGTAGACCACAATTTACTTCTTGGTAAGTTAGAAAAAAGTGGAATAGAAAATATCACCACCAGATGGATTTGTAGCTGTCTGATAAACTATACTCAACAAGTAGTCCTTAATAGTACTACATCCACATGGAGAGAAGTAAGCTGTGGGGTACCACAAGGCTCTGTTTTAGGCCCAGTACTCTTCAATATCTTTATAAATGACTTAGATGAGGGAATAGAAGGGAAACTCATCAAATTTGCAGATGATTCTAAACTGGCAGGAATAGCCAACATCCTCAGGATCCAAAAAGTTATTGACAAACTTGAACAATGGGCCCTATACAACAAAATGAATTTTAATGTGGAGAAAAGCAAAGCTTTACAGGGAAAATCAAAGGTATAAGTACAGATTAGGCGAGACCTGGCTCAAAAACAGTAAGAGTGAGAGGGACCTTGGATGATCATTTGAATATGAGCCAGCCAAAAAAGCTAATACAATCCTGGGTTGTATAAATAGAGACATAGAATCAAGATTATGTGAAATATTAGTAATATTGTTCTGGCCTAGACTGTAATAATAAATTGTATTATAAATTGTATTGTATTGGGTTTGGTTTGGTTAGTCTGGAGAAAAAAAAGGACTGGGGGGGACGGGACATGATAGTAGTATTCCAGTATTTGAGAGACTGCCACAAAGAAGAGGGGATCAATTTATTTTTCCAAAGCATCAGAGGACAGGACAAGAAACAATAGATGGAAATTAATCAAGGAGAGAAGCAACCTAAAATTAAGGAGAAACTTTGTAACAATGAGGACAATTAACCAATGGAACAGCCTGCCTTCAAACATTGTGGGTGCTTCAACACTGGAGGTTTTTAAGAAGCGACTGGACAGTGACTTATCTGAAATGGTATAGCTTCTACTTCAGCAGGGGGCTGGAGTAGAAGACCTCCAAGGTCCCTTCCAGCTCTCTGTTCTAATTCTGACCCACCAAATCAGACCCCTTCACCCAATTCAATTGTCAAATCATCTTGATTTGTTTGCTTTCCAAATAAGGAAAGGCTGTGTCAACATTTTGTATGAAGGATTTGAATCAGATCAGAGGTAGTATGATACATCACACGTACATCCAATACGATCCTTAATTCATGAACTCCCATTTGCCATTGTACTATTACCTTGTTAATACTTTAGAACAGTGTCTCTCAACCTTGGCCATGTTAAGAGGTGTGGATTTCAACATCTTAAAAGTTGTCAGGTTTAAGAACCCTGCCTTATAGATACTGCCTTTCAGGGAAAACTCCAATTTTATGAGCTCTTCCTCCCTACATACAAAAATATAAAAAATTAGCACCAGATGCATCTGCTCTTGGAGATGATGCATCACTCATTCATCCTGAACTTCTCAATCTATCTCACCTGGCCCACCAGACGTTACATACTATTGCCTGAACAATTTTCTTCTTTTTTCCTCCCCTTTCTGTGTCTTTGGGGAGAGAAGCTTAGCCAAAAATTATCTCGATTCTTATTATTCTTTCAGCGACTCAAGCTGAAGTGTACTAACTATAAATACTTCGAATAGGTAAATAGATCTATTAAATCCTATAAACAAATAAAACATACTTACTGATTTTTAAACTCTGTGCCATTAGACCATTTCCAGATCTTGTTTTCTCTTGAGAGACCAAACCAGTAATGGAAGGGTTTGAAAATTTTTACCCAAAATTCCTAGAAGGGAAATAATATATAATAAAATCCCCATTCAGCAGACTAATTGGCATAGAAGTCTATTGACTGTCTATTGAATGCCAATATATATATATATATATCATTTGTGTCAAATTATTTCATTTGTATAAAATCGTAAAATTAAGGTAAAATTAATGTATAGATAACTGCCTTGTCAGAACTATTTCAGATACAATGGGATTGTCCATTATTTTAGGGAGGTTTCTACAAAGTCCGCTAAAAGAGGTCCATTAATTTAAGCTCTGTACTGCAATGATGTACATGTCTCTGTATTTAAATTATCGTCCAGTCTCCAACCTTCGCTTCATTGCGAAGTTTGTTGAGAGTGTGGTAGCGCGACAGCTCCCCCAGTACCTGGATGAATCGTCGTATCTGGATCCGTTCCAGTCGGGCTTCAGGCCTGGGTACAGCACGGAAACGGCATTGGTCGCGTTGGTTGATGATCTCTGGAGGGCTCGGGACAGGGGTTGTTCCTCTGTCCTGGTCCTATTAGACCTCTCAGCGGCTTTTGATACCATCGACCATGGTATCATGCTGCACCGGCTAGAGGAGTTAGGGGTGGGGGGCACCGTCCTACGGTGGTTCTCCTCCTTTCTCTCTGACCGGTCGCAGTCTGTGTTGACAGGGGGGCAGAGGTCGACCCCGAGGCCCCTTGTATGTGGGGTGCCACAAGGGTCGGTCCTCTCGCCCCTTCTGTTCAACATTTATGTGAAGCCGCTGGGTGAGATCATCCGTGGTTTCGGGGTGAAGTACCACCAGTACGCTGACGATACTCAGCTGTACATCTCCACCCCGGACCACCCCAATGATGCCCTTGAAGTGATGTCCCGGTGCCTGGAGGCCGTGCGGATCTGGATGGGGAGAAACAGACTCAGGCTCAACCCATCCAAGACCGAGTGGCTGTGGTTTCCGACATCCCGATATAGTCAGTTGGCGCCATCACTGACTATTGGGGCCGAGTCATTGCCCCCCACGGAGAGGGCTCGCAACTTGGGTGTCCTCCTGGACTCACGGCTGTCTTTAGAAGAGCATATGACGGCCGTGGCCAGGGGGACTTTTTATCAGGTCCGCCTGATTCGCCAGTTGCGTCCCTTTCTGGATCGGGACTCGTTAAAAACGGTCACTCATGCTCTTGTCACTTCCCGCTTGGACTACTGCAATGCTCTCTACATGGGGCTCCCCTTGAGGAGCACCCGGAGGCTCCAGCTGGTCCAGAATGCGGCCGCGCGGGTGGTTATGGGAGCGACGTGGCGCTCCCATGTGACCCCCCTCCTGCGCGAGCTGCACTGGCTCCCGGTGGTCTTCCGGGTGCGCTTCAAGGTTTTGGTTACCACCTTTAGAGCGCTCCATGGCATCGGACCGGGGTATCTACGAGACCGCCTTCTGCTACCAATAGCCTCTCACCGACCAGTACGCTCCCATAGAGAGGGGCTCCTCAGGGTGCCGTCGGCCAAACAGTGTCGATTGGCGGCCCCCAGGGGGAGAGCCTTCTCTGTGGGGGCACCTACCATCTGGAACGAGCTCCCCCCAGAGATACGGAAGATCCCGGACCTGCGCACGTTTCGCCGTGCTCTCAAAACTTTTCTATTTCAACAAGCTGACCTGGCCTAACTCCCCTCTTTTAAATTCTTAAATTTTAAATTTTTTAATTCGTGATTTTATAAATTGGGTGTTTTAATCTGTGTTTCGGCCGAAATATTTAATAATTTTAAGGGATTTTTAATATTTGTATTCTCTGTATTTTATCTTGGCTGTTCACCGCCCTGAGTCCTTCGGGAGTAGGGCGGTATAGAAATTTGATTAATAAATAAATAAATAAAATAAATAAATTTAAATTTAACATAAATGTATTGCACAGGTTTCAGTAGAAACGTATGTTTAAATTTAAATTAACTTTAAATGTATTGCACAGGATTCAGCAAGGATATATGAGTTTCGCTTACTCATGATACCCCTAATAAATAAATAAATATTTATTTATTTATTTATTTATTTATTTATTTATTTATTTATTTATTTATTTATTTATTTATTTATTTATTTATTTATTTATTTATTTATATGCTGCCCTATCTCCGAGGACTCAGGGCAGCTCACAACAATAAAACAACCAGTTAAAAATATAAAATACATAATATATAATTTATATTAAAACCCCCAAATCTAAAAACCCTCTCAGTCCAGGCTGGGCAATGTAAACAACCATGTTTTTAATTCACGGCGGAAGGTGCGAAGGTCAGGAGCCAACTAGAGCCCCAGAGGAAGTTGATTCCAAAGGGTGGGCGTGCCCACAGAGAAAGTTCTACCCCTGGGGGTTGCCAGCCGACACTGTCTAGCTGACGGCACCCGGAGCAGGCCCTCCCTGTGAGAACGCACCGGGCGATGGGCAGCTGTTACTGGCAGCAGATGGTCCGCCAAATATCCTGGACCTAAGCCATGTAGGGCTTTATAGGTCATCACCAGCACCTTGAATCTCACCCGGAGGGCAACCGGCAACCAATGCAAGTCGCGCAGGAGGGGTGTAACATGGGAGTATCGGGACCCTCCCATCACAACCCACGCGGCTGCATTTTGTACCAGTTGAAGCCTCCAAGTGGTCCTCAGGGGCAGCCCCATGTAGAGAGCATTACAGTAGTCAACACATGAGGGAACTAGCACATGAGTAACTGTGCGTAGGGCATCTTGGTCCAAATAGGAGCGCAACTGGCAGACCAGACGAATCTGGGCATATGCCCCCCTGGTCACGGTTGTTATATGATCTTCTAAGCTCAACCGTGAATCCAGGAGGACACCCAAGTTGTGCACCCTGTCTAGAGGGGGCAAAATTTCACCCCGTATAGCCAGCGATGGAATCTCTCCTTCGAACCGAGATGCCGGTATACACAGCCACTCAGTCTTGGCAGGGTTGAGCCGAAGCCTGTTCCTCCCCATCCAGATCTGTACCGCTTCCAGGCACCGGGACATCACGTTGAGGGCATCACTGGGCTGGTTCGGGGTGGATATAAAAAGCTGGGTATCATCAGTGTACTGATGACACCCCACCCCGAAACCACGGATGATCTCCCCCAGCGGTTTCATATAAATGTTGAACAGAAGGGGTGAGAGAACCGACCCCTGAGGCACCCCACAGTTGAGGGGCCTCATGGTCGATCTCTGCCCTCCTGCCAACACAGCTTGGGTCCGACCTGAGAGGTAAGAGAACCACTGTAAAACGGTGCCTCCCACTCCCAACCCCTCAAGGCGCCGCAGCAGGATACCATGGTCGATGGTATCGAAAGCCGCTGAAAGATCTAATAGGACCAGAACAGAGGAATGACCTCTGTCCCGAGCCCTCCAGAGATCATCCACCAGTGCGACCAATGCCGTCTCTGTGCTGTATCCGGGCCTGAAACCCAATTGGTATGGATCAAGGTACCCCGCTTCATCCAGGGCCACCGGGAGCTGATGTGCCACCACAGTGTCAACAACCTTCGCAAGGAAGCAAAGGTTGGAGCCCGGACGAAAGTTGCTCAAAACAGCTGGATCCAGGGCAGGCTTCTTGAGGAGGGGCCTCACCACCACCTCCTTCAAGGCAGCAGGAAAGCTACCCTCCTCTAAAGAAGAAGCTATCACCGCCTGGATCCAGCCACGTGCCACTTCCCGAGCTGAATAAACCAGCCAGGAGGGGCATGGGTCCAGTACACATATGGCCGCACTCAACTTCCCCATGATCCTGTCTACTTCGTCTGGGGTAACAGGATCGAACTCTTCCCAAAGCACGAGACCCACCGCTTCCTCACCGTCTGACCCTGTCCAGTCAGAGTCCAAGCCGTCCCGAATCTGAGCGATCTTGTCCAGCAGATACTGGCCAAACTCCTCAGCTCGCCCTCGCATCAGGTCTTCCCCCGCCCTCTGATTCAAGAGGGAGTGGGACACCCGAAACAGGGCGGCTGGGCGATTCTCTGCGGATGCGATGACGTTTTGCTGTCGCCAGTTCCACCAGATAGGCCCGTGTAAATGATCTTAATTGTGACCGGTCAGATTCGGAACAACTGGCCCTCCAACTGCTCTCTAGGCCTCTCCTACTTCGCTTCATCCCCCGGAGCTCCTCAGTAAACCAAGGGGCCAACCGGGATCTGCGACGAGTGGGAGACCGCAAAGGCACGACCCGGTCCAGAGCCCTGGCAGCGGCCTCATTCCAGGCATCCACCAGGGTCATGACCGGGGCGTGGGAGAGAGATAGAGGCATTATCCCAAGCTCCGTCTGGAACCTCTCCGGGTCCATCAGGCGCCTGGGGTGGAACCAGATGGTCGGTTCCGCTTCCCAGCGAGGAGGGGTGGCGTACTGGAAGCCCAACCGGAGAAGATGGTGGTCGGTCCATGACAGGGATCAATAGCAGTCAGTCCCCCACCGAACTCCACCCGCCACTGCTCCGAGACAAAAACAAGATCGGGCGTGTGGCCCCCCTCATGTGTCGGGCCCTGAATAATTAATTAGTATTAATAACTCAGTAAGATAAAAAAAAATTAGGCAGCTTTTGTGCAGCTAATGTATTTATTTGGTTATGTGCATTCAGGCTGATATTGACACTTAGTGATCACTTAGATTGACTTCTCTGGGAGGATCTGTCAATTACAAAAGATATTCAGCTGGTTATATCCGGTTCGGCCAAACCTGTAGCGGTGACTGCAGGAGGCCCCGCCCACCTGCCCGGACATCATCATGTCCCATTTATTGACATTTTTTACTCTCTGCGCATGCGCGGAGGGGGCACATGCGAATACATTTGTGAACCAAGGTGGCGCAAGGGTTAGAGTGCTGTACTGCAGCTACTTCAGCTGACTGCTAGTTCAGCAGATCAGCAGATCAAATCTCACCGGTTCAAGATTGACTCAGTCTTCCATCCTTCTGAGGTGGGTAAAATGAGGACCCAGATTGTTGGGGGCAATATGCTATTTAGTATACTGTCGATTGTTGTAAGCCACCCAGAGTCCTCGGAGAGTGGGCGGCATAGAAATATGAATAATAATAATAATAATAATAATAATAATAATAATAATAATAATAATAATAATAATAATAACCGGTAGCAAAGCTAAGTGAATACCACCCCTGGGCCACACTGCTTGGATCTGCATATATACTATACTGACAATATCCTAGGTCCATGATGGCGAACCTATGCCACAGGTGGCAAGCATAGCCGTATCGGTGGGCACGTGAGCTCCACTTAGGTGGGACCAGAAGTTGGCAAACAGGTGGTTTTCAATCTCTGGAGGGCCTCCAGAGGGGGTGGGGAAGACTGTTTTTGCCCTCCCGTGACTCCTAGAAAGGTTCTGGAGGCTGGGAAGAGCAAAAAAATGGGCCTACCATGCCATTGTGTGCCAGGAGCGTGGGGAGCATGGGGTGTGTCATGCGTGCATGCGTGGGGGCAGAGCGCATAGAATTATGGGTGTAGGCACGCACGCGCATGACCCCCACCCCCCAACCTGGCACACAATGGCAAAAAGGTTAGCCATCATTGTCCTAGGTTCTTGGAAAGATCTTTATATTAGGGGTGAAATCCAGCAGGTTGTGGAGAACCGGTAGCAGAAATTTTGAGTAGTTTGGAGAACCAGCAAATACCACCTCTGGCTGGCCCCAGATGGGGTGGGAATGAAGATTTTGCAATATCCTTCCCCCAGGAGTGGGGGAGGGAATGGGGATTTTGCAGTATCCTTCCCCTGCCACGCCCAGCAAGCCACACCACACCCATCAGCCACGCCCACAAAACCAGTAGTAAAAAAATTTGGATTTCACTACTGCTTTATATGCATGTATAAACCAGCTAAAGAATGGGCAGTTGTGACTTCACATTGTTGTGAACAGAGAATAATAATAAATAACTTGACAAACTTATGACCTGTTTAGTCATTTTTCTGAGAAAATAAATGCAGTCCGATGTGACCAGAACACACACACACACACACAAATAAAAAAATAATTGTAGTGGCAAATGAACTAAAATATAGGTCAATGTATTTATTTAGCTAAAGTGATTAATCTGAATGACCATGAATAGGCAAAAAAGCAGTGGTACTGGGGGAAACTTCTAACTTCCTGCTGGCTTCCCCATTGATTTTGCTTGTGGAAAGCTGGCAAGGAACACCAGAAACCACAACCGTGTGAGCAAAGGCCATAACTTTGTGAATAAAACTGGTCTGGACATCGCAGAAATTTCAATTCCACAGGAGTAATTGCTGGTGAAATTTTTACACGTTCCTTAAGTTAGCTTTTTTTTAAAAAATTTAAAATAATTTTTATTAACCAATTTGTCTTTAAAAAGAACACAAAAAACAAGCACACGTATATAAAAACAAAACATGTCAAGGCAAGTTTTAGGTATCTTGATTCAAAAATTGTTGCAGTGTAATACTTGAGGGTACAAACAGATGAACAGGTAAGCATGAAAAGTTTTAGCAATATATAGATAATAAATATAACAAATATAATATGACTGCTTTTTATATTTGTGAATCTTGGGACAATTATGGAATTAATCATGATGTCTAATTATTCCTTACCAATTCTTTCTGACTATCAATCACAGCCAAGGAGGCATTAAATGAAGAACAGGTCTTTAAACTGAGAGTCCAATTCTTTTCATCTTTTGATACATAGAAACATTTTCCTCTGTATCCGATCCAGAAATCTGGGCAGGCAGCACTTTGGCTTGCAAGGGAATGACAAGATGGACAAGACGTTTTTGTCTCTTTAGCTGGAAATAAAACAAAATGGACAAATCATAGAACTCACAATTAACTACAATTCTGACACCAAAGTTTGAATAGTTAATACTAAGCTACCTCATTTAAATGGTAATTCCAGGGTTTAAGGAAACCAAGTGAGTTAACCTGTAAATACAGGTAGTCCTCATTTACTAACCACATTTGGGGCTGGCAATTCTGGTTGCAGTTGTTAAGCAAATATTCACAGCTCATCAAGTGCAAGGTTATGTGGCCGCGACTTGCAACTTCCTGTTTGCTTCCCCATTAACTTTGCTCTACAGAATCTGGCTGTGAAGGTCACCAATGATGATCATGTGACTGTGGATCTCTGTGATCTTTGTAAACATGTGCTATTTGCCCAGTGCCCAAATTGCTATTATGTGACGCTGGGAATGCTGTGACAGCCATAACTTCAAGGACTGGTCGCATATCTCCGTATTCAGAGCAGTCATAACTTTGAACAATTGCAGAACGTGTGTGTAAACACACACAAACACACACACACTATATATATACACAAATACATATACAACTTTATAATGTAATTTTAGATTTGCATCCTGAATATGTATCAGTACACTTCTTGTACCTCCTACCTGATGCAAATAACTGTTTACTAGGTTGCAAGATAGTCCCCAATTTAGAGATCTTAGCTTGCATTTATTTAAAATACAGGTGCATTAAGGTCAGCAGTTAAAGATGCTGAGCTTGTCAGCTGGAAAGCTGACAGTCCAGGTTCAAGACCCGAGCACCATGAAATGGGGTGAGCTCTCATTACTTGCCCCAGCTCCTGCCCACCTAGCAGTTCGAAAGCATGCAAATGTGAGTAGAAAAATAGGTACCACTTTGGTGGGAAGATAACAGCATTCCATGTGCCTCAATGTATAGTCATGCAGGCCACATGAGAGAGATATCTTTGGACAACACTGAGGGAGCTATGAAACTGAGACGAGCACTGCCCCCTAGAGTCGATTTGCCCTTTTACATTCATTGCTTCCTTGGGTTTCCTTTGTTCCAGAAAACTTCCCTGCTGTTTGGGCTTAGCCAGCTCCTTCTTCAGATACTGTAGTGTCAAGCAATAGGATGCTAAAGAAAAATCGTAAGCACAGTCGCAGTCACATGACTTTCCACTTAACAATTGTGGCACCTGAGCAATTGAGATGCCTGAACAAGTTGGTATCGCTAAGCGAGGAGTATCTATATTGTTCTATCTAAGGGGAGAGCTAGAAACTGTGAGAGTTAGCAGTTAGTTAAGTAAGTCTGGGAAAGCATTTGGTGTCAATTCTGAAGCAAACCTGGCTGAGACCATCTTTATGGTTTCAGGGTTGGCACAAGACGGGGGGGGGGATAGATAGCTGGAAACCAAGGACATTTCAACAGGTGGCTGGAAAGAGGAGTAGAATAACCAAGCAACCAGCCAGCACCTCTATTGGACAATGTGGCAGATGACTTGGGGGGGGGAGGGGGAACTTCCATTTTTTAATTAGGTGAAAACCACGGGAACTTTCAGAGTCGGTTTTCCCCAGTTGTGTCAATATGATGTATCCAATAAACTGTTCTTTGAGGAATCTACCTGCTTTGGAGTTCTGCTTTCAATGGGTGCATTACTTGGAACGCTGACATCTGGCAGATTTCTGATCAATTAAAAGGAACCAATTTTTTAAGAAAGAGCAGTGTTGTTTTATGCCAGGCAGAAGATAAACAGGCCAGATTTTCACTCTTCAGCAAGTCATTTAGATAAATATGAACATGTAAAAAGCAAGTTCATTGCATATTTCTCAATTTAGAGAAATGTTATAAAGTGAATTATGGAACGCTTTGCATGAAAATGGAAGATGGTTGCTGAAGGCAGTTAAGAGTTGTTTATGAAGGGAATGAAATACTTATGAGAATAAATAGACATTTTGTAAATGGCACTACATTTGAGTAGGGAAAAATATAAAGATGCTGTGTTAAATGCATATGGGTAGATGTATAAGGAACTTTGTGTTGAGATTAGAGTGAGTGAATTTTTGTACACAGATGAATGCCCCAGCTGTGGCTCAGAGTCTGAATAATTGGCAGTGAATGTTGCATGGATTGTATGAAGCAATGAACACTATCTAGATAGTGTCTAGATCCGTTCCAGTCGGGCTTCAGGCCTGGGTACAGCACGGAAACGGCATTGGTCGCGTTGGTGGATGATCTCTGGAGGGCTCGGGACAGAGGTTGTTCCTCTGTCCTGGTCCTATTAGATCTCTCAGCGGCTTTTGATACCATCGACCATGGTATCATGCTGCACCGGTTGGGGGGGTTGGGGGTGGGAGGCACCGTACTACGGTGGTTCTCCTCCTTTCTCTCCGACCGGTCGCAGTCTGTGTTGACAGGGGGGCAGAGGTCGACCCCGAGGCCCCTTATATGTGGGGTGCCACAAGGATCGGTCCTCTCGCCCCTTTTGTTCAACATTTATGTGAAGCCGTTGGGCGAGATCATCCGTGGTTTCGGGGTGGAGTACCATCAGTACGCTGACGACACCCAGCTGTACATCTCCACCCCGGACCACCCCAACGATGCCCTTGAAGTGATGTCCCGGTGCCTGGAGGCCGTACGGATCTGGATGGGGAGAAACAGGCTCAGACTCAACCCATCCAAGACCGAGTGGCTGTGGTTTCCGACATCCCGATATAGTCAGCTGGTGCCATCGCTGACTATTGGGGGCGAAGTATTGGCCCCCACGGAGAGGGCTCGCAACTTGGGTGTCCTCCTGGATTCACGGCTGTCTTTAGAAGAGCACTTGACGGCCGTGACCGGGAGGATTTTTCATCAGGTTCGCCTGATTCGCCAGTTGCGTCCCTTTCTGGATCGGGACTCGTTACGCACGGTCACTCATGCCCTCGTCACCTCCCGTCTGGACTATTGTAACGCTCTCTACATGGGGCTCCCCTTGAGGAGCACTCGGAGGCTCCAACTGGCGCAGAGTGCGGCCGCGCGGGTGGTGATGGGAGCGACGTGGCGCTCCCATGTAACGCCTCTCCTGCGCGAGCTGCACTGGCTCCCGGTGGTCTTCCGAGTGCGCTTCAAGGTTTTGGTCATCACCTTTAGAGCGCTCCATGGCTCAGGACCTGGTTATCTACGGGACCGCCTGCTACCACCAATAGCCTCCCACCGACCAGTACGCTCCCATAGAGAGGGGCTCCTCCGGGTGCCGTCGGCCAAACAATGTCGACTGGCGGCCCCCAGGGGGAGAGCCTTCTCTGTGGGGGCACCTACTATCTGGAACGAGCTCCCCCCCGAGATACGGAGGATTCCGGATCTGCGTACCTTCCGTCGCACGCTGAAGACGTTCCTATTCCAGCAAGCCGGCCTGACCTAAACTTCTCCTCTTTTAAATGGGAATTTTAAATTTGGTTTTAAATTATTGGGGTTTTAAATATGGTTCAGCCAAATTTATCTAACTTGTTTTATTTCTATTTTAAATTTTGTATTGATATGTTTTATTTCATGGCTGTTCACCGCCCTGAGTCCTTCGGGAGTAGGGCGGTATACAAATCTAATAAACTAAACTAAACTAAACTAAACTATGGCTCTAAAAAGGAATGTATTTGGTATGTTTTTTTGACAGGGAAAATTGAGTGAATGGCTGTAGGTTATATATTTAATGGCCAAAAATTAGAGCTAGTAGATAAATAGGTATACCTTGATAGAATTTTTAATACAGATGTAAAATGGATGAAGAGACTTTAAGAGTGCAAATGCTGGTAAAAAGGAGGGAGAGAGGCTACATGATCTGTTGCAAGGAATGAACATCAAATTAAAGTGGCTTGTGTATAAAAGTGTAGTTCTGATTTTGTTGTGTGTTCTTTGAAACTTTGTCATCTGATGGGACTTAGGGGTGCCTCTTCTGTTATGGTGATTTTTTAGTCCTATGAACGAGGAAGAGGCAGGGACAAACCATTTCCAAAATGCTGCCATGAAAACTGCAGGGACATGTCAGGTTCAGGTTCAGGTTTATTGGATTTATATACCGCCCTTCTCCTGAAGGACTCAGGGCAGTGCACAGCCATAATAAAACACAAGTCATACAAAAATTATGTCCAGGCAGTTGCCAGGAGTCAAAAACTGACTTGATGGCACCACTTTAAAACCTCTCAAAAAAACTACAGTGGAAATGGAATGGTTGAGTGCGTGTGATAAAACCGGAAGAGAAATGGTCAAAAATGAAAGGAATTATGGAATCAAATACTAATTTATGTTGGATCATGCTCTCTTCTTTCTGCCCACCTCCCCCATCCATCTGCATTGGGTTTGTCCTACCTTTCATATAACAGTATTTCCTTCCTGGAGCATTTGTAAGAGTGCCAAAAAAGATGGCAATCACAGCAGTGCAATAAAATTCTTCCCTTTGTGGATATGAAGGAAACATTTGACACAGGACCCACAGAAGTCCTAGCTTCAATTGCATTGCAGAAAGCATCATTTTTACTGATTTGACAAACCCATTCACAGTTGCCAACTGTGTATGTCAAAAAACATACCAAATACATTCCTTTTTAGAGCCATAGTGTTCATTGCTTCATACAATCCATGCAACATTCACTGCCAATTATTCAGACTCTGAGCCACAGCTGGGGCATTCATCTGTGTACAAAAATTCACTCACTCTAATCTCAACACAAGTTGCTGCCAACTTCCTTCCAAATCGTTCTGTGGTTTAAATGCATGTAGCAATCTTGATGTAAACAATAACTATGAACAAAGTTAAATAGAAATGTCTCACTACTTACCAGCCAATGAAATTATAACGATAATCAAAACAATGATCAGAATAACAGCTGCTATAATGATTTTTTTGTCTGAAATGTACTTAAGTACGCGATCTGAAAAACAAGACAGGAAAATATCAGGAGATGAAGTTCAAGATTTTATTGTGATTGTTTTGTTTTTGTTGTCTTGTAAGCTGCCCAGGTTGTAGTCATACTATAAGTGGCTATGTAGGACAGGCAGACACTATGGTGTATTAAGACAAACAGATGGACAGACAGACAGAGGGAAAGGATCAGCTACTCTTAATGTCAGAGACTATTTACCAGAAACAACTGGCTGTAGTTTGTATGAACAGTTTTCGTGTTCTGTATGTTAGAACTTGGAATCTTCAGTTTTGTGTGTTGCAGCTGGCATATGAAACTGTAAGGCAGGGGAATTTAGGAAAGGAAGTTGTAAATATTTGGACAACTTTTGGTTGGAAAAGTCTGATGTATTTCCATGTGTTGACAATTCAAGTTTTTGGTCTGACTGGCAGCTGCCGATTTTGCCACAAATAAACCCTGAATCACCCTTCTCTCCACAAGGAAAGACAGAAGGCAGCAGTTAGTGTGACGCAAAGGAGACCAGAAAACACAGCCTTGTTGTCTGTTGTGTGTGGCTTTCAGGTTTCTTTCCCCAAAGAACAGATCAAGTGGATCAGGAGTGTCTAAGATCCTCCATCTTTCTCATAATCGTGGGAGACACAAATTTAATCTAAATCCCACCACTTATAAATGCCCAACTGTCCTGCCAGAAAGAAAGGCTGGCAACCCCTTTGGAGAATGTCATGTCCAAAAATGTAATATTCCAAAATACTATTTCCAGTAATTGTTTTCCACAATTGCAAATATTTTTCCATAAGGCAACGTGGGAAGGAGATTGACAACAATGAACACACGCGAGAGGGAGGAGCTGGAAAAATAGGCAAAGCAAAACAAAAACAAACGTCAGTTGCCAAATGTAATGCAAAAAAAAAAAAAGAAATATTCATGAATGAGACAATAAAACAAGACAGGGCATGTAGGGATTGAAGAATGACATTGGGCCGAATGCAGCAAACTGCTTCTGTTTCTGGTGTCATTCTTCTTCCTGGATGATCTCATTCTTGCTCTGGTCTGTGTTATCTGACCTTCTTCTGAACAGGTGAACAGGTGAACAGGGAGGAGGATTTGTCAATTAGAACACTGTTGCTTGCCTGCCTTTTTGTCTGCCTGTAAAAACTGTATAAAAAATAAAGCTCTCTGCGAGAGCGAGAAAGACATCTTTGAGCAAATACCTGGCCTCTGATTTTCTACATCAAAGGGACGGTCCTTTGCGGGAAGCAACAGCCGAACATACTCATTGTCGTCTGGATATAGACCCCTGATATCTTCATCCTACGTGGATCCCTAATGGTGAGTATGGGTTGCAATCTTTCTCAATATCAGAAAACTCATGTGCGGGAACTTAGATTTCTATTACACAAGTCTGGCGTGACGACGTGCGAGACTGGCATAAGGAAACTGGTAGTTGAGATAGGGAAACGTTGTCTCTTTTATCCGGAACAGGGGACACCTTGTTTATGAGATAGAACAAAGATAGGGCATGCTTTACATCTTGAACCTAGGTCTTCAGTGCAAATATTACATCAGTGGTATCAATGCCATCAAGCAATAGAAAAATATGGCTCTGATGCTTTGGAAGGGCAACAATTAACTACAAGCCCTCCACCCGATTATGATAAAAGTTAAAATTGTCACCCCAAAACCATCTTTAATTGAACCATCAGCTCCTTCTGAAGGAGCTAGTTACACTCCCATTAGGCAGATTTTAGAGAAACAGTTAGAAAAGTGGGGGGGAGGGAATATAGAAGAAATTGCTGATATGTTTTCTGTTTGTCCACCGGTTGCAACTTTGCAAGTTTCTTCTGAATGTGCTTATCGAGCCTTCGGAAAAGTGCCTGTTTCTGGAAAGCCTCAACAAGCCTTCTCTAACATCAGGCAAAAGGCTAAAGACAAGGCCACTTCTGAACACCGAAGAGCAATTGTTGGGCTGGGAAAAGATCCTGATTTGGCAGATAAGATTAAAGCATGTCAAGATATAAGAACATCTTCTTAGCAAACTAATTTGTTATCAGCTGCTTTATCACCAGGCAGCAAACCTCAAGGAAAGTGTTACAATTGTGGAAAACCTGGTTATTTTAAAATGGTGTAAAAATCCAAATGGGGAGGGCATGTCTGTAACATCTCGCCTCTCTTTCATCAGGGATCAAAACCCTGGTATATCATCGTATGGATGACATTTTAATTGGAGCGCCAAAAATACAATCTAACTGGCTTTCTGAAATACAAAATGATTTATGTGTCTATGGATTGCAAATTGCCCCAGAAAAAATACAGCTGTACTTTCCTTACTTATCTAGGACATAAAATGTTGCAGTCTTTTTCTGCTCTGGCTTTTCCTTGTCTAAATTTACCCAAAGTTATTTCCTTAGTAAATTTGCAACAATTGCTGGGTACTATTAATTGGGTCCGCCCATATTTTTCTCTACCTACGCATTTACTTAGTCCATTATTTGAATTATTGACTAAAGGGAAAAAGCCTGGAGATATAATTATAGTTCCATCTGTAGTATTTGCTACAGTTGAGAAAATTAATAACATCTTGAGTACTCAGTTTGTGGATCGAATCCCTCATAGAGATTGTCAGTTATCTCTTTTAATATTCCCTAAACTACCCACAGGAGTTTTGGCTGTTTTAGAACAGCAAAAAGTATATTGCATTGAATGGCTTTATTTGCCTCATATACCATCTAAAAATGTTTTGCCCTTTGCTGAAATCATAACCTCAGGGCGTACTCGAGCTTGTCGAAGAAATGGAACTGATTTAATAAATATTCTTTCTATCTCAAAATCTGACTTTCACTTTTATTTTCAGAATAATTTATCTCTTCAGTGTGCATTAACCGATTATGTTGGTTGTATTTCATATCATCTGCCTAAAGATCCTAGGTTTACTTGTTAAATGACTTCCTCCTTTCCTGTTCGCCCATTGCTTTCTCCTTCTCCACTATCACAAGTTCTTACTGTTTTTTCTGATGGAGGACGAACGAGAGGAGCGATTGCTTACAAGGATCCTCATGACGATATTTGGAAAGTGTCCTACACTGCAGTGCAGTCTTCATTTCAACATTCAGAATTGTCTGCTGTTATCTTAGCTTTCCATACTTTTTCTCAACAGCCTTTTAATCTGATCTCTGACTCTCGGTATGTGTGTCAACTTATTTTTAATCTTCCAGGTGCTTATATTACGCCCAGGATTGACTCCAATTTTATGGCCCTATTTCTCACTTTACAGCAATTACTACACGACCAGCAGCATTTATATTTTGTCTCTCACATACGCAGTCATTCATCCCTTCCTGGGCCTCTTTCTGAAGGCAACAGTCATGCTGATGCTGCTGTTTATGTTTTACCCATTTTTTAGTCATTCTTTTTTCCATCAAAATGCCAGGGGACTGGCACAAGCTTGCCACATTCCACTAGAGCAAGCTAAGCAAATAGTTTCATCCTGTCCCCAATGTCCTGGAGCATCCCCCTCAGGGGACACAGGAGTTAATCCCCGTGGTCTCACCTCTAATCAATTATGGCAAATGGATGTTACCCATGTTCCCTCTTTGGGTCCTTGGAAATATATTCATTTATCTATTGATACCTATTCTGGAGCAATTTGGGCTACGCCTCAATGAGGGGAAACAGTTAATCGTGTTATTTCTCATCTTTTTTTCAGCCATTACGGCTTTGGGTAAGCCCTCTTCTTTAAAAACAGATAATGGGCCTGCCTATTCTTCACAGGCTTTTTTGCAATTTTGTACAACCTGGAATATTGTTCTTACTCATGGTCTTCCCTATAATTCCACGGGTCAAGCTATTCTGGAATGTGCTAATAGGTCCTTTAAGGACTGCCTTCACAAACAAATAAAAAAAAAAGAGGGCTCTCTTTTGCTCAAATTTGTCATGGGTAACACAACAGGTTACAAAAGTTTTATTTACCTTAAATCAATTGAATTTTTCAATTTCTAATTCGACTGCTTATCAGAGGTATTTTCAACAAAAAACAAGTTTGCCTCCTCCTCTGGTATATTATAGACAAAACATAGTTAGGACTGGTCCCTTTAATTACTTGGGGGCGTGGCTATGCTGCTGTGTTTACAGCTACAGGGCCTTTGTGGGTTCTAGCATGTTGTTTTCGTCCAGCCAAGGATGTCGTGGCACCAACCTCTGAATCCTATCCCAGAGATGGCAACGGTGACTCTACACCAATCCGATCCTGTCGGGTCAGTCATCCAGTGACATGGGGAAATGTGAAGAATTTGAGCACCAAAGCGCAGGCAGTACTGCAGCAGCAACAAGTAGAACAAACACCCGAGAATTTGTGCGCTGCCATTTTTTGCGGTTTTAACTGCCAATTCTGTAGCCATAATTTGTTTGTGTTTGATTGTTAATAACTGTACTTTGGCATCAGCAGCTGCCATATCACCAAAACATTCGCTTGAAACAAAACTTATGGGTGCAGCTTGCAAACAGCACAAAAACGGATGCCTTTTGTTTGTCTGAAGTTTATAATATGGAAAATTTGCTTTCTACATGTTTAATCTCTGTATGTATCCCTGCTGTAGTAATTCAAAACTTTACTAATTTGAGTAACATTTTAGATGAGTCAGGAAACATTCAGCATCAACTTAAAATTTTGTATAATTTGGCCTGTCATTTGTGTTATTTTAATTGGAGGATGCTGTTTTGTTCAGTGTATTTCTTCCTTTTGCAATATATGTATAACTGCATTTTGCTTTAAATCCCTTCCTACACTGTCTCAAAGTCATGCCTTATATAAGCAACTGCAAAGAGATTCCTCTTCTGATAATAACGTCTTTTTTCTGGCCCCTCATAAGAGGATGGCTTCACAAGCGAAATAAAAAAGAGTGGGATGTAGGGATTGAAGAATGACATTGGATCAAATGCAGCAAACTGCTTCTGTTTTTGGTGTCATTCTTCTTCTTCCTGGATGATCTCATTCTTGCTCTGATCTGTGTTATCTGACCTTCTTCTGAGCGGGTGAACAGGGAGGAGGATTTGCCAATTAGAACACTGTTGCTTGCCTGCCTTTTTATCTGCCTGTAAAAACTGTATAAAAAATAAAGCTCTCTGCAAGAGCGAGACAGACATCTTTGATCAGAGCAAATACCTGGCCTCTGATTTTCTACAAGGGCATGTCTGAATGTAAATACAAGGTTTATCACACGCAATCAAATATTTTTAATGTGCTACTGAGGAATCCTTGTTAGAGGCAGTGGCAGATTACAGATTATCAGAGTTGGAAGGGACCTTGTAGGTCAGCTGGTCCAACCCCCTGCCCAAGCAGGAGACCCTACACCATTTCTGACAGATGGCAGTCCAATCTTTTCTTGAAAGTCTCCAGTGTTGAAGCTCCCACAACTTCCGAAGGCAAGCTCTTCCATTGGTTGATTATTCTCACTGTCAGAACATTTCTCCTTATTTCTAGATTGAATATCTTCTTGATTAGTTTCCCTCCATTATTCCTTGTCTGGCCTTCAGGTGTTTTTCTGTCACCAGAAAAAGGTACCAGAAAAACATTCTCTGCAAATGTGCTTGCCCTCTGCAAAGCAGTTCTAAGGAACCTCAGCTGCATAGCAACACAAGTTATTATGGGAAACAACTGAGGAAGAGGAAAAGAGAAGTACAGGCACTTGAAGGAATATTTAGAAGAGAAACCACATTGCACAGAAAAGCACCGTGAAAAACAGAGCATTCCAACACAACCTCCTCATTTTCTCCAACATCAATTAATCAGATCTTGTTCTTTGAGAGAAAGATATTGACATTAATTTCTTCCTCTTCAGATGGCTGATCTGGATTTTCCCCTCCAAACCCAACTGCCCAAAGTCAGTGGCAGGGTTTCTCTTCTGAAAATGGGAAATACTGATGTGGGAAACTTACCAGTGGTTAGCCTAAAATTGGCTCTGTCTGAAGTTTTTCTTTTCAAAAAGAGGAACAGCCTCAATTTCCTCTCTTCAAAGCCAGGGGAAAAAAAGATAAAGGATCCTGTTTTTTTTTAACCTTTGTGTGGTCCAGCGCCACCCACTGTGTTTTATTACTTCCCCCTCCAAGATTACAAAGCCCCCCAGGCAGGTGTTAGCCTTTATTTTTACCAGCATTTCTTGCCCTCTTTGCATCAGACCTTCGAGCAGAAAATTCAGTTGTCACCTCAGGAGTCAGATTATCACAACATCCAGAATCTCCATCCCCTACAGAAAGGCAGAATGTCCCAAGAATGACAATAAATAGGGATATGGTCTACTTTTGCTATTGAGAAGATGCTGCCCACAATACCCAACCAGGGCTCCTTCTTTCTTTCTTTTTTTTTTCTTTTTTTAAAAATTTGATTTATATGCCGCCCTTCTCCGAAGACTCAGGGCGGCTTACAATGTGCTCAGCAATAGCCTTCATCCTTTTGTATATTTGTACAAAGTCGGCTTATTGCCCCCACAAACTGGGTCCTCATTTCACCTACCTTAGAAAGGATGGAAGGCTGAGTCAACCTTGAGCCTTGGCGAGATTCGAACCCTGCAGTAATTGCAGGCAGCTGGTCTTAATAACCAGCTTAATAACAGGGTGCCTTAAACCACTGTACTACCCAGGCTCTTTCCCAGTCAAAACAATTTAAAGAAATATTTTAAGTAGCTGAAACCCATAAAGATCCCAAAATTCTGAAGCACTGAATGTTCACTGGCAGAACTGCAACATTTTAGGTGATTGTATTAGGGGGTAGCACCCATGTCATAGGACAAAATTGGGCATGGATCTGGGGGATTTCCACTGCTTTTGTGGTGCACATTGGAAGACCTTCTTGCTTTTGCACAAGCAGGTATGTATATTGCTGAATTATGTCTGAAACTGACATTCCACATAGAATCCCAGGTATGAAACTCTCTGATTTACTCAATGAGCCTCTTAAAGCTTAGAAGATTATCTGGCAGAGTCCTCTCTGATGTTCTTCCTGGTTGGTTGGTTGATTGGAATTTGAGTGTTTGCTCCCAGTACACCTCTTATCAGAAGAACCAAGGATGACTGAAGAAAACAATCCTACAGGCAACCAGTTCTCTTACCAGTTCTCCTTAATTCTAGCTTCAGTCCAGTCATCTCCAAAAGTTGCAGATCAAAACTTTGGCCCATTCAAATTTGCTTTTTCAACTCATGCCTGCCTTACTTATTGCGATTCCTCTGCTTAGAATAGAAACCAATGTTTTTAGCCATAGAATCAATGAAGAGTTTTTCCTCTGACTTCATTAGTACTCTAGGGCTTTTCTCCTGCTCTCTGTAATTCTCAGCTAGATGAAAGAAAGATCTGAAGGCCTCACCTGTAATTTTTCCCGACATCTTTCAAGCTTTCTGTGGTCATCCCATCCCCCCCACCAAAAAATCAGGATTCAGACTGTATGGAAAGAAAAGAAATTGGTATTACTCATTTCTGCACTGGAATGTATTAGTGAGGTATTACTATGGAAAAGATACTGCTGCTCTGGCCCACCACTGCTTGGCTTTCCTGCGGTTTGCGTGGCACATCTGGATTGCCTGCCTTCCCCTTCTGCCTCTGCCTGTATCGCCGTATGAAGACGAGCCTCATGCTGCCTGCCGCTCTGGCCCACCGACGCTCAGTGGCACGTCAGGATTGCCTGCCACCCCCCACTCCCGTTTCTGCCTGCTGCTCGCACAGGTAATCAACTCACCTGTGCTGAGTGGGCTGCGGCTGGTGCCAGACACCATTGGCTCATTACGCGCTCATTATCTATGCTGGCCAAGCCCACCCTCCTTCACTAGGGTTTATTTTGGGGGTAGGGCTTATATTAGGCACACGCATAAAAAACAGTCTAGGGCCGTGATGGCAAACCTATGGCATGCATGCCACAGGTGGCACGTGGAGCCATATTGGTGGGCATGTGAGTGTTGTCCTAGCTCAGCTCTGGTGCGCATGTGTGTGCCGGCCAGCTGATTTTTGGGCCTTCTGGGCCCACCGGAAGTTGGGAAACAGGCCATTTCTGGCCTCTGGAGGGCCTCCGTTGGGGGCTGGGAAGGCCATTTTCGCCCTCCCCAGGCTCCTAGAAAGGGTCTGGAGCCTGGGGAGAACTAAAAACGGGCCTACTGGGGCTACCAGGCCATCACATGCTAAAAGCGGGGAGAGTGGGGCGGTTCACATGCTCATGTGTGGGGGCAGCACACTGAATTATGTGTGAGGGCACGCGCACACACAGCTGCCACGTGCTCCCCCCCGCTTTTGGCATGCGGTGGCAAAAAGGTTAGCCATCACTGGTCTAGGGCTTATATTTGGGATAGGTCTTATTTTTTTAGGGAAACACGGTATTTATCTCTTAATTTTCATGCTCTACCTTTTCTTCAAGTAGTCATCTACCTGAAATAATTCACATACCTGATCTTCCCCTTCCAGTTTCACCCTTCAGATGATCCTCTGAGTGAGATGCAGTGCAGCTATTCCAAAGATGAACAAATGAAAACTGTGGGTCACCACCAATTTAAATTTCAGACCAGCCTTCTCCTCATTGTTTCATTAAGAACCATAGTCTCTGGAAATAAATAAATGAATCAGTCCTGTATATCCCAAGGAGCAGGATGCACAATGATAGAAAATCCACACAAACACACAAAAGAAGAAGAGTTGCCTTGTTTGCCTAGAGCAGGGGGCAGCAACCTTAAACACTCAAAGGGCCACAAAGGTCCTAACCCGAAGCCCCTGTTCAATTCTGGAGCCAGAAGTCCGGTTCCCCCACCATAGAGTTTCCTCGTAGCATGGCGTTCTGTCCTAACCGAAAGCCCTATCCATCGTGGAGCCAACTAGCAATAGGGAGCCACAGCAGAGGGATGAAAGAGCCACATGCAGCTCCAGAGCTGCAGATTGCTGACCTCTGGCCTAGAGGAATTTGGCTTGCAAATTCCCCTCCCCACCCCATAATCTTTAACAATAAACCCATTCTGATTAACAATAAACCCACGTGAGCCATAATATCTTGTGGATATTATCAACATTTTCCTCTGTTTTCTCTGTGATGACTGAAAACAGAATGCAAACTAGATTTAAGCCAAACGCCTTCTCAAAAAGGCTTTTGTTACCCCTAAATATTTCAGAGTGTAGGTGAAACACGTTTTAAATGGCTGGAAAACATGAGAAATGCATTTTTAAAAAAATTTCATGCTATGCCAGCCTCCTCACAAAGCAGCTGATTATATCAGTCAGGCTTATTTTTGCAGGAGAGCTGTACTAGGGATTTGAGAGCTGTACTAGGGATTCGAACCAGTGGTGAAATCTAAAATTTGTTACTACCGGTTCTGTGGGCGTGGCTTGGTGGTGGAGGGGGGTAACGTGACTGGGTGGGCGTGGCCATTTTTAAAAAACTTTTAAAACCATTTTTTCTACAACCTCTTCACCGAAGAGGTTGTAAAAAATGCTTTCAAAAGGCCCTGACGATCCCAGCTGAGTTGCCTGATTGGCAGGGGCATTTAAAAGAAAAATGCCTCTGATGATCCCAGCTGAGTTGCCTGATCAGCAGAGGCTTTTAAAAGAAAAAAAGCCTCTAATGATCGCACGGCCAGCTGGGCATGGAGGGTGGGGAGCAGGGACTTTTGGTACCGGTTCTCCAAACCACCCGTCTCCATTGCTACTGGATCGGGTGATCCAGTCCGAACCAGAAGCATTTTACCCCTGATTTGAACCCCCGAACTACCAACCTTTCTGATCGACAAGCTCAGTGTCTTAGCCACTGAGCCACCTAGTCAGGCTTTAGTTTGGCACCAGGCAAGATCCCAAGGGAAGGTGGGGTGAGGTGGGGTGGCAGTGGTTATCATGGAGTCTTTATTGGCCTTCAGGGGCCTTGCACCACAAATCTCTGGTTGTGAGACCCTGCTCCTGAAGTTGGGCTCACGGAATTAGATCCCAGCCTCCCTGCTATGCAGCAATCTCTCTGCCTGAGCGGTTGGAGACCATCTTGGGGCTGGCTGTGGAGTTCCCCAGATTTATGATTTTGGGGGACTTCAATCTGCCATCCCTGGGTGCTGCTTCTGAAGCAGCCCAGGAGTTCATAGCCACCATGGTGGACATTGGCCTATCTCAGATTATAACTGGCCTGACTCAAGACCAGGGTGGATAAAAATCGATGATTTTTTTTTAAAATCAAATCAGATTTTTTTAAAATTTAAATTGGACTTTTTAAAATAAACTTTATTTTAATAAAATGCTTTTGGAGTAAAGATAATCTTCTATTTAAGATACATTAATAATTTATTCAGCATGAAACAGAGCTTAGTTATGTAGCATGAGGCTGTATATTCTGCAATATTGGGACTGTTGGTGAGAAAACAGCAAGTCAGAAGATGAGCTGCTGCGGGGCACAGATGACAGTTGCTCTTTAAAAATTATGATTTAAATTGAGTAGATTTCACCGCGAAAGAAAAGTGAACGGCAGCGGGGTTGCTTCGGGCAGGCGGACATCTGCACTCTGCAGCCAGGTGGGATGGGAGGGTGGCGAGAGCGGTGGTGACGACCCCTTCCACACGCAGCGCATGGAGGCGACAAAGGTGGGCAAGGCGTGCCTATTGCTGCGGAGGCGTGGGATGGCCTCAGCTGGAGCTGCATGTGCCTACACCACTGCCCGGGCTGAAGGGAAAGTGCAGCGGGTTCCGCGGTGGCATGGCCAGGCCTGGCCCGCTCCCTACGTGGGGGACTGCCGCCCCGCTGGTGGCTTCCGCACCTCTCGAATGCGCCATGGCTGAGCCTTCTTCCCCCAGAGCGCTGGACTCCGCAGGTTCCCGAAGGCAGGTGGCTGGGTGGGAATCCAGTGGACTGCCCCGCAGAGCCAGCATGGGTGAAAGATTGCCTTTTCTGCAGCATCCCCCTCCCCTCTTTGGATCGTCCTACATGGGGGGGAGGGGGGGCTCTGCCTTTGCAGAAACAGGGCGGGCAGTTTGTATGGAGGATTGGCGGGGGGGGATGTGCAGCCCTCCGGGATGGAGAGCAAGGCATGAGAAGGCTCCGATGTTCGCTTGGGTGGCGGAAGGAAACTGAAAGCGTTGGGGGCTTCAGAAGGGCAGAATGTGCTTCAAAATGTGCAGCTCCTGGCTCCAACAGTGAGTGACGGCAAATTGGCCATGCCCACTTGGTCACATGACCAAGCCACGCCCACAGAACCAGTAGCAAACATTTTTTACATTTCACCCAATCTTTCCCCTGCCATGCTCACTAACCCACACCCACCGAGCCATGCCACGCCCATCAAGCCACACCCACAGAACCGGTAGCAAACATTTTTACATTTCACCCCTGGGTGAAACAGAATTTCTCTTATTGAGTCCTCAGAGTGCTGCCCACAGGCCCTGTTTCAGGTCACCCATTCAGTCCTAGGTCAGGGGTGCTCGGTCCTGACCTCGGCCCGAGGGGTGCTCGGGCTCAGGCAGAGGAGTTTGTTCAGCACCTGATGGACAAAGTCACTCGAATTCATTTCCAATTGGGACCATGCATGGAGAAAGCCTGTGTGAGAAGTCTTGCCCTGTTATCTGGGAACCTTGAGGATATCAGTGCCACCACCTGTCAGTTAATCTTTGTCCCTCCTGGATGGTGAAAGCCTCCAGGATAGTGACTAGTGGATGGGTCCAGACAGTGATTAATACATCATTAGAGGAGGGGACATTTCTGCATGATTTTAAACCCTGGTTTGCCCTCTCCTTAAAAAAAAAACCATCACTGGATCCCATCCGCCTGGACAATTTTTGTCCAGTTTCCAAAGCACCTGAAGGCAGGACAAGAAGCAATGGATAGAAGCTAATGAAGGAGAGAACCAACCTAGAACTAAGGAGAAATTTCCCTAAGTATAACCGTAACAATAAATCAAAAAATCTAGGACATTGAAGGGATTAAGCATCAAGATGTTTGAAAATAAAAGGAATGTAAAGTTTTATTTAATCAAAGTTAAAATAGATACCTTATACCTGGTAGAGTTTGATAATTTTTGCTGACAAGGTTTTATGGTTTCTTTCTTTCTTTCTTATTTATTTATTTATTTTGTCGAGTACATATTAGTTAATATATATAAGCATGAATTGAATACATAAAATGAATACAATTAAAGGGAACATTAGGACAGGGATGGTAGGCACGCTGGTGCTCTTACACACGCCCCTTACAGACCTCTTAGGAATGGGATGAGGTTTTAAGTTAAAGTTTTGGGGGTTTTGGGATGAGACCACAGAGTCTGGTAGTGCATTCCAGACATTAACAACTCTGTTGCTAAAGTCATATTTTCTGCAATCGAGTTTGGTGCGGTTTACCTTAAGTTTGTATCTATTGTGTGCTCCTGTATTGTTGTGGTTGAAGCTGAAGTAGTCATTGACAGGTAGGACATTGTAGCAAATAATTTTATGAGCTATGCTTAGGTCAGTCCGAAGGTGGTGTAGTTCGAAATTTTCTAAACCCAGAATTTCAAGTCTGGTGGCATAGGGTATTTTGTTAGGAGCAGAGCAGGGGAGGACTTTTTGTGAAATATTTCTGGACCCGCCCAATTGTGTTAATTGAGCGGATCCAGAAATATTGCACAAGAAGAGTCCTTATAGTCTTTATAGAGAGATGAGATATGGGAAGAAGACTCTGAGCATCTGGCTGTAAAGAGGAAGATAGTTATCCTCCTTTATGGAGGAACATCTGGCGGTCAACCATATACCCAGATACTTAATTTTATTTGTTATTCTTAAGCCCATTAACTGCTCCAGCTGTTGCCTTTCCATCTGAGTCATATTTTTCACTAGGATTTTAGTTAACAGGTAACATTTGTTTATATTTGTTATGAAGGGAGAAATCATTTATATCTTTCCTTCCTACCTTTTCTGCACTTTCTACTTCCTCTCTTTAGTGTCTTTTCTTCTCTTTTGAACTGAAGAGCTCAATAGCATTATTAACAAAAGTTTTAAAAATAATTTTTCCTCCACAGCCCAACAGCCACAAAAGCGCGGGAGCTCTGCCTCTGTTGCGAAATTTCGAGGATCTGACTCAATAAATGATTCAAGAGTGAAGTATTCAAATATAACACTTTTTATTTACAGTAGGCATTCTATATTCTCTGAAGTATAGTAGATAGAAGCGAAGTGGAGGTGCATACAGCCCCTTATATATTTACAAGGCGGAGCAAAGGAGGGGAGTGGTTACATATGAATATATTAAGGGAGAAAGAATAAATTAACCCCTAGTACCCCGTGTATATACAATTCACCTATAAGAGAATCAGGCATTTACTTGTGACAGCCTCCCATAGCATGAAAATTATGGCAAGATTAGAAAACACACGTACTCACCAAAACGCAACCAAGCGGTCCTCGTCATCATCGCATTGCACGTGTCCTTAAGAGCGCCAGCAGCACGAGTGTGTGACCCAAACCCGCTGCTTGCAAAATAAAACCGCCAAATCCGGAGGACCCCTGCGTGAATTTACTCCATACAGCAAAGCTGTTGTTGTTGGAAAGCGATTGACCCTCAGGCAAAGAGGAAGGAAGGAAGGCTTCTGCACCAGCCTCAAAGGGAGGCGGCCAACCCGACTGAGACCATGAAACGCGCAGAACCGGGAGGTCCAGCTAGTCTACCGTCACTCCGTTCAGTCTTATTAGGCTACAGTCAGGAGCCTCATCCTCTTCCCCTCCCCACACGCCCCCACGTCCCGACAGGTGCCGGCCCTTCCACAGTATTTACTCTCAAACCGCCAAACCTCCACATCTTGCAGCTGTCCATGCTACCAAGGTAACCCGCCTCTTCCTTCCTTCCTTCGGTCGACACCTGGCAACCCCTCCGCAGCTGCTGCTTGTTTACAGCTCCTGAGCCGCCTCAGCAGAAGTGAGAGAGCGGTTAACGCGGCTACCAATAATCGGTCGGAGACGGGAGTTCTCGACGCTGCTTTGCCTTTCCCTTCTTCTCACCTCTTGAATGAAAAGATTAGCGCCACACCGTGAAGCGCAGAGGAAGAAAACGCGGGGAAAACCCTTCGCCCATAGCCCAGACAGCAGGGCGCCAAGAGCAGGGCTGGCTTTCCGAGGACCTCCAGGGAAGTTTCCCCCCCCCCCCCCATTCCCGGCATACCCAGAGCCTTCCTCACCTGAGCGTGCAGCGCCCGAGGGATTTTCTCTCCCCACGTTGAGCCTACATATAATAGCGGACTCGGCACCGAAAGAGCAAACTGGAATGGTTGATTGACGGAGGGCGACGCCTAGGCCCCGCCCCACTCATTAAAATTTCTGTAGGAAGAACGCTTTAGGTTTATTCCACGAAGTAGCAGAGGACTGGACAAGAAGGAACGGGTGGAAGCGTGTTAAAGAGAGAGCCAATCCAGACGTGAATGCTCCAACACTGGACATTTTTAAGATGTTGGATAACCATTTGTCTGAAGTGATGTAGGGTTTCCTGCCTGGGCAGGGGGTTAGACTAGAAGACCTCCAAGACCTCCCTTCCAACTCTGTTCCTTTCCATCCCATCCCATTCTATTTATTTGTCAAGCGTATATAAGATAACAGATAAAAGTATAAACATGATTATGAATACATGAAATGGATACGAATAAAAGGCGACATTAGGACAGGGATGGCAGGCACGTTGGTGCGCTTATGCACGCCCCTTACAGACCTCTTAGGAATGGGGTGAGGTCAACAGTGGACAGTCTAAGGTTAAGATTTTGTGGGTTTGGGGATGAAGCCACAGAGTCGGGCAGAGCATTCCAAGCATTGACCACTCTTGCTGAAGTCATATTTTCTGCAATCGAGTTTGGAACGGTTTACCTTGAGTTTGTATCTATTGTGTGCTCGTGTATTATTGTGGTTGAAGCTGAAGTATTCATTGACAGGTAGGATGCAGATAATTTTATGTACTACGCTTAGGTCAGAGCAAAAGCAGCGTAGTTCTAAGTTGTCTAAGCCCAAAATTTCAAGTCTGGTGGCATAAGGTATTCTATTGGACTAGAAGACCTTTGAGAGCCCTTCCAACCCTGTGATTCTGTGTTCTATGATTTTATTTATTTATTTATTGTTTATTTATTGGTTCGATTTATATGCCGCCCTTCTCCGGAGACTCAGGGCGGCTTACAATGCGTTAAGCAATAGCCTTCATATTTTTGTATATACCTGCTTAGTAGGGCTTTTGCCCACCACCCCCCCCCAGCAGTGTTCTTTTTTATACAAAGTCAGCTTATTGCCCCCACAATCCGGGTCCTCATTTTACCTACCTCGGAAGGATGGAAGGCTGAGTCAACCTTGAGCCTTGGAGAGATTTGAACTCTCAGTAATTGTAGGCAGCTGGCAGCCAAGTGCTACTTTAACAGCACTTTAGTCCGCTGCAGCACCAGGCTCTTATCCTAGAGCACTGTTTCCCAACCGTGTCAATTTTAAGAAGTGTGGAGTTCAGTTTCCCAGAATTTCTCAGCCCCCGTGCTGGCTGGGGAATTCTGAGAATTGAAATCCACACATCTTAAAGTTAGCAAGGTTGGTAAACACAGCCCTGGAGTGCTCTCCCTTCACCCCCAAGCCTGTAAATTTCCTAATCCAAGGCCAAGTAGTGTGCAGCCCCTTGTTTTATAGGCTGACTAGTGCCCCCAAAGTAATACCCACTGGGAGTCCAGTGGGAGAAGGGCGGTATGAAAATCTAATAAAATAAAATAAAATAATAAAATAAAATAAAATAAAATAATAAAATAAAATAAAATAAAATATAAAATAAAATAAAATAAAATAAAATAATAAAATAAAATAAAATAAAATAAAATAAAATAAAATAAAAAAAATAAAATAAAATAAAATAAAATAAAATAAAATAAAATAATAAAATAAAATAAAATAAAATAAAATAAAATAAAATAAAATAAAATAAAATAAAATAAAATAAAATATAAATAAATAAATACCAATGTTGATCTAAGGAAAAATAGCAGAGACAAAATCTATATCTGGACAATGCCTTTAATTGGAGCAGATCTCAAAATGGACAAGCTTGGAGTTCTACAGAACTCTTCTTCAGAATTAGCTGGTTCCTGAAGAGTAAATACATTTCATGGTCACAAGGTTTAATCTCCAACCTCTTGTTTTTGAATATTTATCTTTGGGATCATGAGGCCTGAACTAGAGCAGCTTGCTTAAATAACAGGAAGAAGCTTTAAAGTGTAAATAGAAATCTCTTCATTAGGTCTACTCCAAACATTGACGTCCCCAGCTGACTGTGGAATGGATGTGAGAGGTATAAAATCTAATCAGACATGAATAAAAGATGGTCCTGAGGTTGCACCACTTGCATTCAATTCCAACCGCAAAAAGTATTAAACAAGGTTGCATTCTCAGCACTTGTCTATGGAGATTCTAAATCATCCAGATCATGGTTATCCCAAAAGTGCTTTTTCAAGAGGCAACTGGACTTTCTGTTTTTTTTTTTCTTCCATTCCCCACCATCCAGTCAGAGCTGAAGAAGCTTCTTGGATGAGAAGTGAAAAGTGTTCAAAGAAAAACCAAGAAAGTTCAGTTGCCTCTTGAAAAAAAGCACCTTTGGGCATTCTCGCCACTATTTAATTTTTGCATGTGTGCCGTGGCTCGTGTGCAGCATCATCTGCTTACCAAAATTTTAGCCTAATTTATTTGCTGCTTTATGCCAACAACACTATAATTCTCTTTATCCCAAGCAGGTATTTTCTGCATATTCAGAATACAGATAGTCGTAAATTGAGGACTGTCTGTATTCTGATAGTCATCTAATTGCATTCATCTAATTGCAAGATCCAATCTGGGCCAGCCACTAACCCTAACCCTGGGGATGAGTCTGGAAGCTCAGAACACTAAACCTCTGGTCCCGGTGACCAACCCAGATTGGATCTTGGAACATTATCCTCAGACATGTATGTTTGCCTTCAGTCGTTCATTTAATGACTAAGCCAAATAGACTTCATTGGCATCCTTCAGTCTATGGTATGGTGTGCTGGAAAGAGATCCTAAAACAGCATCTGGTGTGACTAAAAAGGCCAATTCGAGAGTGGCGATCCCTTCCACGCTGAGGGCAGATACATTCTGTCCCCTGCCCAGCCCCCAGATTTTGCTGGTTCCGGTACTGCCTCTTTGCCTCAGCCTGCCGAACAAGTGTCTCTTCGAATTGGAGAAGGCCATGCTGCGTCTTTAGCCTCCAAGCTGAACGATCGGAGGTCAAGGTTTCCCAGGTGTTAACGTCCATTCCCAGAGACTTTAGGTCCTTCTTGCAGATATCCTTATATCGCAGCTGTGGTCTGTGATGACTTCCCTGTTCTATCTTATTTACCTTTCCCGGGCTAGAATGGAGCTGCAGTTCAATAATAGCTTTGTTTCCACTTGGCTTAGACCCAGTACTCTTCAACATCTTCACCAATGATTAGGACCAGGGAATAGAAGGTGAACTCAACCACAAGGTACCTTTTGTCATGTATGGTAGCTTTGCCCAGAAATCAAAAAATACTGGATTAAAATACAAAAATGGTTAAATGAAATTACACATTGTGAAATAGAATTGAAGCCTGAACTGTTTCTTCTGGGGATCATTAAGGGAAAATATCCTAAAAAGATTAAATATTTGACCATATTATTACAGCAGCAAGAATTGTACTCGCACAAGCCTGGAAAATGTCCACTACACCGACAGATTGTGTAATAATCCGGAGGGATCAGAAGGAAGGTGAGACCATCAAAGAATTCGTGGCCGCCCTGCGCCAAATCGCAGCCAGCTGCGAGTTTGACCATGTGGACAACGCTATTGCTGACCGTGTGGTCTTCGGCATGAAGGACAGAGGCCTGCAAAAGAAATTCCTGAGCAGGAAGAAACTCGTGCTCAAGGATGTGGTGGAGGAAGCTACCGCATCCGAAATCTCAGAAAAAGCGGCAGCCGCGGTAAGCAGGGCAAAGGGAATCCACAAGATTCGCAGTGCCACGCAATCATCAACGGAGGATTCCACAGCTGGATCAGAATCGGAGGAAGAGTCCACCATCCACAAGGTATCCAGACCCCCAAGGCGGGAAACCGCTCAAAGAAGCTACAAGGGGGAGCGCTGTGCCAGCTGCAGAGGGGACCATGCCAGGGCAACCTGCAAGTGGAGAGATGCGACCTGCAGACGCTGCAACAGAAGGGGTCACATCGCCGAAGCTTGCAGAGCTGAGGAACCAGCCCCAGAGCCGTCCAGCCACCGTCCCCGCGAAAATCGAAAAGATTACCAGAGATTGTCCAAACGGTCCCCTGGCCAATCTAGACGCAGAGACGACGAATTTCCCAGGAGCGGAGCGGTCCATCAGACGACCATCGCCCACACAAACTCAGACAATGCCACCAAGTTCCACGTGACCATCCACGTGGAAGGATCACCCTGCTCAATGGAGGTAGACTCGGGCTCAGTCTACTCCATTATGGATTGGCACCAGCTGAAGCGCCTGCAACCCAGCATCAGCAAACGAGACCTGAAGTCACTACACTCCAAGCTCATCGATTTTGGGGGAAACCCCATCGGAGTCTTAGGAAGAGCCAACATCCGAGTCTCCTACAACGAGTTCCAAGGCAAGCTTCCCATCACAGTCGTGGAGAACAGCCGACCGAACCTGCTAGGAGTGGAGTGGTTTAAGCCGCTGGGGCTATCAATCGGAGGCATCCATCAAATTTGCAGGGATGAACTCGACAACCTCATCGAAGAGTTCAAGGAAGTCTTCGATGGTAAGTTGGGGAAATTTGTGGGGAGGCCAGTCTCCTTTAATCTGGACAAGGAATCACCCCAATTAGGCTGAAGCCCCACCGGGTTCCATTTGCCCTGCGGCCAAAAGTAGACGAGCAGCTGGATAAGCTGATCGCCCAGGGCGTCCTGGAACCGATCGATCATGCCTCATGGGAGACCCCCATTGTGACCCCACTGAAGCATGATGGGTCTGTGCGCATCTGCACCGACTATCGTTGTACCATCAACAAGGCGTTGGCACAGAGCGCATACCCAGTCCCAGTGGTGCAACATCTGCTGCATTCCCTGGGGACTGGCTCAATTTTTGCTAAACGACCTGGCCCAGGCTTACCAGCAACTGCCAGTGGACGAAAAAACGGCGGAGACACAAACCATAGTCACACACAGGGGGGCATTCAAATGCAACCGCCTCCAATTTGGAATCAGTGCTGCCCCCGGCATTTTCCAATCTATGATGGAACGCCTTTTCCAAGGCGTTCCAGG